TTTGTGATGACCCAAGTAAGATCTGAGAGCTGTTTAGTAAACATTATGCAAGCCGCTTCACGCACGAAGATAGTGTACTAAATATACAAATGCCCATTCCACCACACCACTCACTAAGTAGTGTTTCCTTTACACAGAGAAACATAGGTGATGCAGTTGCTTCACTAAAGGACTCATATTCTGCCGGACGCGATGGGATCCCGTCCGTTCTCCTTAAGAGGGGTGGTGAAGACATACCATCGATCCTCATGAAGCTATTCTCAACATCTCTTACTGAGGCATGCTACCCTGACCTCTGGAAGCTGCCACACATATCTCCCACGTATAAATCTGGACCGACGTCAAAAATTCAGAATTGTCGTCCCATAAATATTACATCTGTAGTCTCTCGCATCATGGAGAAGGTGGTTGTGCAAGAAATCACTGATTAAGTGGCTGCACATCAGCTTCTTTCCCCTGTGCAGCATGGTTTCTTAAAAGGTCGTTCGTGCAGTACCTGATTACTGGATTATTTTGAGGAGGTCACCTGCAGACGATATGAAGGTCCTTTCGTAACTGCTCTATTTTTGACTTCATAAAGCATTTGATAAAGTGCCTCATAATCGGTTAATTCTTAAGCTTCAATCATTCGGAATTAGTGACCCTCTACTATCGTGGATGAGCTCATTCCTTAGGCAGCGTACTCAAATAGTAAAGTTCAGCCAAGCTTATTCCTCCCCACCGCCTATTCTGAGTGGCGTCGTTCGAGGTAGTGTGTTGGGGCCCTTACTCTTCCTTCTTTACATAAATGATATTTCTAACGTGATAAAATATGGTAAACCCTACCTGTTTACTGACGACTTAAAAACTGTGTATAGCTTGCCCCACTCATCTCTAAGTGAGTGTTTCAATAGAACCGAGGAAGACCTGACGAATTTATCCGTCTGGAGTGAAACATGAAAACTTCCACTTAACTCTGGTAAATGCGGAATTCTCCGTTTCGATAACTCTTATCCAAACGTCAGTTTACACCTTGGTGATTCTGTGCTGCAATCTTATAACTCAGTATGTGACTTAGGTATTAGGTATTCTTGGAACTTAATGTTTACGGAGTATGCCCAGTCACTTGCCCCCAAGTGTAGGCTCTCAGTTGGCCTTTTGCTTAAACATGTACATACAACTGAGGCCAGACTGCTTTTATTCAAAGTAATGATCCGCCCAGTGCTTAAATATGGCACAGTCATCTTCAGCAATATAAATGCTTCGAATAGGATGCTAATTGAGAACGTTCAAAGAAAGTTTACCCGCTATGTACTGGGCCGTCTCGAAGAACCTGATCATGAGGGGAGGTGTAAGAAACTAAAAATTGACCTACTTTGGCTAAGACGCCTTAAGCTCAACCTCAACCTACTTTTCGACCTTTTGCATGGCATTACTCACGCCTGTTGCGCTCCTACTTTTAAGCTTATGTCCTCATATAGCCTAAGCAATCGTGAATGTACTGTACCTGTAGAAAAGCACCGCCTTAAACTTAGGTCACGATCCTTTATGTTACAGTACAGCAAGTTATGGAATAAGCTTCCACATTTCATTTGCTCTTGCATGTCCGCAGTTTAGTTTCGACGTCTACTCAACCAATTCTTTCTTCTCACGGATATCTATAAATTTCTTGACGTTCATATTATATCCACAAATACGAAGCATAACGGAACAATCAGCACATAACAATGGTCAAGCTATTGCGTCCACTGTGAACGTACTCAGACCTCTAAATATAAAAATCGGTTTTATTAAGGCCCTCCAGTTCCTTTAATGTAGATGGCTTTACGACTGCATACAAGGGTGTGAACACTGGCTCCCCTCCGTATAATGAACTCAAAGACTACGGTTTTCCTCCAAAGCTACTCTGGTACACCCCCACCCCAAAATATTTAAGAACCTTAAAATGGAAGGACTATGCAGCTGACTTCACGTATACACATAAGAACGTACATAAAGGCCGAATGATTAAAAAACAATAGGGACTTCTCTCTTCTCCTAATTTGACAGCGCAGTAATTTCTGTTTCTATGTCTGCTGGTGCTTCTTCTTTCTTTTCCCATTCCCAGAAACAGCTGCAAGTCGACATTTGATGTCCAAATCCAGTCTGAACATGATTACTCTATGGGAATAATACCTGCTCATTGACGCAATGATTATTGGACTGCTTCCACTCTTTCGCAAATTCTGGACCATCTTCAAGACTAACTCACCTGCTGGTCATGATTTTTCGTGCGGTGAACCGTCTGACCACTCCCAACTGTATTAGTAGCAGAGACATTCTGAACAGATGATCAAACCAGAGACCAATTTACATGTACACATATATATGTTAGCTCAGGGCGTCACTTACATGCAGTGGCTCCACACTACATATTTTCTAGTACTCTGTACCAAGAGATATTTCCATATGAAACTTACCATGCATCAAATACACTTCTCGGATGATGTCGCGTACGCTAATACAAAAGATGTCCGAAGTCTATGTATAAATACTGCCACTTGGACTACTGACTGTTTCAACATCTATTTTCATCCAATACAACAAGTATCCCCAGCAGCATTAATCTATATTACCTTAAACGTAACATGGTGTCCTGGAGATGCATTGATATATCCATACACGTTGGTTGTATAACTGTGGATACTTTATTGATAATCCAGATTGTATAACTGGGTCCTTTGTGGTTAGCAAAGCTAAAAACTGAAGATCATTCGAAGTAATAAACTGTTATATTACTACTTAGCAAACCATGCGAATGGACTAACAACGTCGGCTGGTTATAACGCAAAACTTTGAACACTGAGCGCTTTTGATATTGATGGTGGAACCTGTCTGTGAGATGGGAGACGAAAATACATGTCCGTCTCATGAATTCCGGCAAATTTTAACAAGATTATGCACACCAATGACCTGATACGTAAATTATTTAATACTAGGTGCCAGTTCGTAAACTTTCAAAAATTATGAATTTGACGGTGCTTGTAAACTAGTATCCCCCATATTAGACCCACTATATGAGGATAATATTCATTATTATCTGAACTTTAACACTGTGTACGCTGTAAAGCAATATTTCCTTGTTCATTTCATAACTAGCGGGATCTTCGTCAGTTTTTAATTGAGTTTAATGACATTCCGTCTGTACCACTCAGGACACAATTCTTGTAGATATTTTGAGTCGTATCGACGTGATAAAGCCTGTAAGCTGGCTTCTCTCACGTTAAACTTTTTTAATGTGAGAATAAAACGTTCATTTATTGATTTATTTCTATCCCTAATGTCCGACACTATCATGACTAAGTCACCTATTTGGATATTTCTCTCAGAATTCGTTCACTTAAGCCGTTGTCGTGACAATGCAATGTATTCCCTGGACCAAAGTTTGCAAATTACTTCTGCAAGATAATTAGCTTGCAGTCACCCCTGAGAAAAGCTGTCACTTCTGAATGAGCCCCAAACCCTTCCAAGTTGTCCCTCAACAATTTCGTCGATGTTAGTGCCGTTAGATCTTCAACCCCGGATGTAGGTGGAACCGATGGATGGCGGTTAGTTGTAAGAATCGTGCGTTCTCAGAACCCGCTCCAGTAGCCTGCCACTAGCGGATTGAATTGCCAGTCAATTCCTTTTTCAGGCAAGTTACTGAGAACCAGCCCATGTTTCGACTCTCTCAAGTGTTCATTCAGTTTATTCTTGGCCCTTACTAGGTTGGACTTCTTATCGCTGAAACTCTGCTCGTGTGTCTCTTGGGTAAACCTAACGTGCTTTCATAGGATCAGAATAGAACACAGTCTAAAGACGTGGCACAACCACTCAGTTTCTCCAGTCTCGATTGTTTCTAACAAAACTCTACCCAATACTGCAGTTTAACGGTACTCAATTGGTACTTTCGGAACAGGACTGAATTCTTCCACTACTGCAGAGTACATACATAACATGGAAAGTTGCCTCCGAAAAATTAAACCTAATAACTGACAGAAACCCATTTCGAGAAACTCGGGGTTGATAACACTGACGAATTTTCGGACTGTTTGACCGTAGATGTTCTCCTTGAATGTTCAACAGTTTCATAGGGCCTCAACTGAAGTTCAAGATCGTTACATTCTTATCTTCTCTGAGGAAGGATAAATCAAGCTTGAAAAGCATCTATAGAAGCTCGGCCAAATTTATTCAAGGACTAATGTCTGAAACATCGATGAACGATTGGTTGCGCTGAACCTGTATACCCCCGGAACATGGAAGATTAAAACTTTACAGTAATTTACAACAGCCTGGGCACAACTGGATACTCACTCACTTATTGAATCATAGCTGTAGCACTTATTTCAGAGGACACATACAAACACTATGCCTGAAACATAACAGGTTAGATATCAGGCACAACTCCTAATCCTTGCTATTTTTAATCACCAGGATGCTTTTCCTGCGGACGTGGTTCAGGCTACTTCGTCAGAATCCTTTAAACGCAAACTGGATACACATTTGAGATGCGGCTTTGGTCTGCTCAGAACTAAATGAATTTAGACATTTTAACCTACATGCTTCGTCCTCCCTTTACTTGTAAACAGGTTAGAAATCACGAAAAGCAGTGACCCACAGATTCTAGGTGCGGTAGCCAGTTAAGTGAAAACTTTTATCCCATCAACAACCATTTGAACTATCTGAACCATTTGGCCCTGATGTGAGCGGTTGAGTCAAAGGAATCGGCACCATGGATCCTGCTGGTTAGTTAACGCTATTTATACAAAATTCCGCAGTTATTTCCGCTCTACATTGTCTCGAAAATGATCATCAGGAGCAACTTGATTTGAGGACGAAAACTTACCAATAAATCCTTATGGTTCACAAGTATTTTGTTTTGAATGGTTAATAATTGTATTAAGTTACTTACTGCAGCGAACAATAAAAGAAGGTATGATTCAAGTTCGTCGTCATCTTCAAGTGGAGAGAGCTCTGCTTCAAGTACACTCGATGAAGGTGAAATGAAAAGCAGTGATGAGTCGGAGTTCAGCAATGAGGATCACAGCTCTGAGGAAGGAGAAGTCCAATCGGAGCTTGACGAGGTAAATTTTTGTTTGGCTCTAGCTACCTTATGTATATTTATTCCCAATAAGTAAGAATTAACACCACCCCAGCCAGTGGTTTTTTGCATTTACAATTCACAGAGATGGTTGATAGTTTTCAATTCTTGGCTTGAGTTTCAGGTTAGCAGGCTTATTTCTGTGTCTCCTTAACGGATCTGCGCGTCTGTCTCCTCTTAGATGAAAAAACTAATACCACCATCGCGAACGTTTTGGAAAGTTCGCCCTTTGCAGGTTGACTAGGTGGGGGTAAATAACTACTATGTGGCTAAATATTCCCCATAACCCTCCCCATTCGATCAAAGGGTTTTTAAGTTGTCTCGTAGTAAAAATGCCTTATTTACGTAGACAAACCAGACCGATGTATTCTTTATTAAGTAGAGTGCTTATAGTGCATATCAAAGACGTCTGAAGAATTTCTAAATGTTCCTGTCTGGTAGGAAGAGAACTTATATAATGTCCATGTCAGTACATTTCCTGTGCCTGTCAGCAATGTGTTAGAGATCAAAATTTCAGATTTATTAACTATTCAGTGTAGCTTCAACTGATCACATGAGAAGACGTACAAATGACTGTCATCTAAGTATCTCTTAGCATCTCTGCATCCATTTGGATGTTGCCTGCACAACGTGATTTGAAGGAAGGTGAAAACTTGTGTAGTAAACGTGTCATAAATGACCATGGCAAAAATTGCATACATCTAACTGTACCATGATTATCTGCAACTAGGCAAGTTCACTAAAGTCCGTGAGTCATAACTCACCACAGCAGCTAAACTATCAGGTTAGGAAAAACGGAAAAGTTGTTCCGTCATTCGCATGCAAAGGGATTGTCACCAGACAGACGACTGTACCCTACTTCGTCCCTCTCCGTACCGATTCACAGTAGCTAACTACACGCCCCTTACAAGGATCTCACAAATCCATGCAACTAGACTGTTGGTGATTTAAAGTTTCTTAGCTTAACTGAAAACTTGAGAGTGGAAGCCTTGTCAAAAGTCTCGTAAAGGATATGAACACGGTTTCGATAGGCTCTTTATTACGTCTAAACCTTACGTAAGTTTTACTGGTAGAAGGTTTCCTATACCTCCTGCGGGAAGCTGATCAGACTACTCTGAATAGATCACTCGTTTTTTCAGACTGCATCACATCTAGAAGGTTGTTAGTTATTTACTCTGAAGGCAGTTGTTGTCGCCGATTAAATAACATTATCATGCTTATGCAGCGTAATCTCAGTTTGCAGCTGAATTGATAATGCAAGTCTGCTACCCGTAGTCACAACTTGGTGAGTAGCAACGGATCTCTGCATCCTTTTTCGCGCTAGTTAGCGCGCTTAGGTTTATTTTGGCTGGTTCATATGACGATGATAACATCTTCACAATAATTCTAAACAGGGAGACATCAACTTAGGGACTGGTGTATCTGGGAAGAGGTTTAAGTCACCGCACTTTACGTTAGTATGTTAAAGGAAAAACAGGAAAAAAAACAGAAAAAAAAAACAAAATCTGCAGTCGAAAAGGCTCTAATAAATGTCGAAAGATGAAAGGGATAAAAAAGCTTGATATCATGGTTCAAACAAGGATAGGGTCTACATGAATCTGCATCGTTGTGACTAATTGCTAGACATACCGTTAGTCTTCAAACGTCGATTTCAGTTGCTTTACTAGCTTCTTTCGGTCAGTTCAATCCTTCTGTGGTCAAGTGACAGAATTTTTCCTTGGCGGAATGGGCCAGTGAATGGCCAGAAGTAGTCAGTGGAGTTTTAACTGACTCCCAAAACCTAATGGAGTTGTGGCCTTATGGTCTAGGCACTCGACTTCCAACCGATGGGTTACGAGTTTGGACTCAGTTTCACCTACTGATGTTTGTGAAGTTAGGTATTATCATTCAATAGCCCGTGTCTCATTGTTTACTGCTCAAAAATGCAGTTATTGGTGATTGCATTCTGTTTCTAACGAATACTTTAGTAAGTCTAAACAGTCATCTTCGTCCATCCTCCGAATTACTTAGCACTAGTCCACTAAAACCCATTACCGTCACTTCACATCATGTATTCCGATTCACCGTTGTCGTCAACTATCATGACTAAGTTAAGGAAGACTGACTAAACCAAAACGTGGTACTAATCAATAAAGTCCCTGACTATTGTTCTGAGCCATGGAGGCTGTACGATTGGGATCCTTGAGACTCATCATTGTGAAGATCAACATAAGACCAAGCATTACTGCGTAACACTCCAATTCGCTACATCTTATATCAGTACATCAAGTTGATTTGCTGAAGATGAAGAAGGAAAGAAAAATTGGTCAAAGGAAGTAGGGGTAGAAAGTGGTAAAAGAGAGGAGGGAGGAATAAGAAGATGATGAGATTAAGTATAGCGGTTAAGATGGGGATATTGTGTGTAAATAAACCATATGAAATGATAGTTGAAGACTTTTTTTTGGCTAAAATCGTGTAGATATTTTGACCTCTTTATTTCCAAGATTTTAAGCATATTTCCTCACTTTCCTTCTGATCAATTTTGTTTTCCGCATCCCTGCTTTTGATTTGGATGAAATCATTCCATTTCTGTTCACATCGTTGTGTGCGGTTGTGCGATAACTTCAACTGATGATTTGTGTAGGGTTGTGTCCTGATCCGTTTTGACTTCTCTGAAGTTCGTTCAAAACTACCAGTTTCAAAAGGAAACTAGAAATAATTTTAGGCTTTCTGGGACAAGTAACAATGTTCCTTCACTTTTTTATTCAGTTCCTTCTTGAGTGATTTCTCAGTCTTCATCTCCAAGCTAATTCACGACAGTAATTCATTCTCAATATCTCGTCATCATTTAAGGTACGGATATACGCATGTTCAGTATCCAGCAGCATGTTTCACAGTAGGAGGTAATCTTCCATCAACTGTCCAACGGTAACATACCAGTGTGATCTTTATTCATGCACCAGTGAGTAGTTAGTTGCTGCCAATTCAGATAGTTTATTTTTGCTTGTTTAGAATAGGTGTTTATCTAAAGTTGTAACAAGTGATGCTATCATATTTAGAGGGAGGCATCAACACTAAAACATCTTTGGCAACTTTTTGACGCACTAAGATTACTAAGACAGCTTCTGGTGAACCATTAGGATAGTTGAACTTAACATCTACAGCTACATAAAGCTGCAAGGTGGGCAAAATTCACTTATCTATCTTTCGACTACTACTGAAATCAAAAAGACAGTTTCAAATGTGCAACAGGGCAAATCTATAGAAACAAGATTCTTCAGGATCAGAAATAGCCAGATGATAGCTCGACAACAGTAGTGAACCAAATGTTTTTTGATACTGCTTGACTACTCAAACTTTGGTTATTGGAGAAATGCTTGACCCACAACCCACTTGTTAAAAGTCGAGTAACCGATCCAGTTAGCTAAAAGTGGTGAAAATGATGTTCCAGGTAAAGTGGGTGCGATTGTAGTTAGTATTATTCGACTAGCTCCAACCGTTGGTTATCTCAGCTCATAAGAAAAACGAGAAATCCCCCTCTGATAAATATAAACAACTAAGCCCGACCAAGTCTTCAAGATCGTATGGCCTTATAGAAACTCAAAGCCTAATCAGGAAATTTTCAAAATGATATCTGACCATACTGGGAGTCGCGCTTCGAAAGCCTAAACTTACAGCTGCATGGGGTTCACAAATGTAAGGTAAAGGTGGAGACCAGTGTTGTTTTCTGTGCATGCCCACTGTCACCATTCCTGTCCAATCTTGAGTATGGATGCATTTATTGATGTCTTGTTGCTCACTTTTGATTTTTCAGAGACAAATTACTGCTCAAAGAGTACCTAGCTCAGCTAAAAATATGATCAATGCACACTCACCCAGGCTACAGGCAGAACATGTTTTGAACTCTGTTACTAAAAATCAAGCATCTCATTCAAAGAATTGTCCCCAAGCATTATTCACACGTCTCGTGACCCCCTCAGCAATGACGAGAAAACCACACTTATAAAATGTTAACAGTCGGTGGCTAAAAATCGCTGTGTTGATCAGTATTAAGTATGACTTTGACCTGCTAAACAGGACAGTACCCTGGAATCATCTGTTAGAGTGAAGTCTTCGAGAAGTTTGTGAACGCGAAATCCACTCAGAAACATTGTACACATTCGTGCAGTAGGCATTGAGCTGTACCTATTGTGTGAAGGCTAGTGATACTACCTGGCTGCCCAAACCTCGGTAGGTGGAGCGGTGTTTAAACCCACTACTCATTGGTTAAAAGTCAACTCCCTAGACCAATAAGCCATAACAACATACCGAAACATCTATGCTTCAGTATCTTGGATAAAATAAAGGCTCACAACTACCTATCTTAACTATTACAAAGCCGTAATGGGACTGCCCGATTTTGTTTTTTTGCTTTGGCTTTGTCACCGATAACGTTTTCGAGATAGCTTTCGAGGAGATACGTGGTGGTGGTGGTGGTGTAAACCTATCACATTGTTTTACTATAAGAGATTATACAAGCTACTCATATCTCAACTAGTCGCCGACCAGCTTCCGTTTGCTTTATGCTTATAACCTTCCAAGTGCTTCTACATGATTGGCAGGAGCCTGTACTTGCACTCAACTTTAATGATAAGTGGATGATAGTTGTTGGAAAGTTTATGTACCCGAGTGGCTGTGTGATTTTTGGTGGAGGTGTAACTGATGAGATTTCAAACCTTATACCAAAAGCCTAAGCAGTGTACGCCTTTGATACCTGTGTGATGTTAACCCTGGTATAAAAGTTCGAGTACACAGTGAGTTGGCGCAGACAGTTTTGCCCTACCCCTGTGAAACTTGATCTCTGAGCTGAGAATGTCCGGCAACTCTAAATTCTCGATTACCTTTTGTCTTGGTAGGATTCCTCGCGTCCACTGGAAACATTATACAAGCAATTCTGAGGTGAGACATTATGCGTTTGGGCGTGATGGGGATCTCTATTTATTGGGTATTGCCACCTTGAAACCTCGGTATCTATCACTTTTACATGTGTTAGTTACGTATGTCATCCTAGTTCCCCTGACACCACTCATGTTCACTTGCAAAGGACTATTTGAGAGAAGTGAAAAGATGGTCAGTGTATGATGTGTCTTTGGAGAATAAAGGATAGTTGTGTTGGTTTGTCATCTGTAGATGCCTCACGATTCCTTGGATCAGATCCAACAAGTCATGCGATTCAGTGACTTGAAACGATACCAGTCGTGGCTGAGAATCGAAACTGACGATCACGCTACATCCTTCTTCTGTCTTGTATTACTGAGAAGTAAAACGAAAGTAATTGATGCTTCTTCATACATCTACTTTTGAGACTGCTTCTCTGATACACCACTTCTGTTTTTGTTTCCCTTCTATCGTTACCTCTCAGTGTTGCTTTATTATTTTGCAAGGCGCATCTCTTGATTCCTGTGTTGTACGAAGTTTGTGTTCTAAAAAAGCTAAAAATAATCTCACTGTTGAATTTTTGCCCCAGTTTTCGTGATCTATCTAAATAACTGTCTACTGTTATTTATCGCCGTTGCCTTTTCCATCTCAGCCCTTCACTACTCATCACTGCTAGTAGTCATTGCACCAACTCTTTCAGTCTACATTTTAGTTGCTTCCGCTCTTCATTGTGTTCAGAGTCTGCAGTAATGCGTTCACGTGGATCTATTATTTGAAAGGAAGTTACTAACATCCACTTGCGCTCTCTTACATTTTCCTGAGGCTCATTTACAGTCTTTAACGTTTTTACTGCAGACTGGGGGTGACGCCAGGTTATTTCAAGATGAATGATGTTCTGTCGCGACAACTGTCTAGCCAGTTCTTCGTCAAAAGCAACCATAGGATTTTCAACATTGAGTTGCTTTCGGTATAGTCTAGGAGCTGTAGTTTTTCTACATTCACCTAGGCCTGCTCAAACCAACGTGATCACTGTCCAAACACGTGTTCTAGGATGGGTGGCAGTCTTCCACTGATCATATCAAGCGATTACTGATGGAATTATGGTCTGTCTGTGTACACCGTTAAGTTAACACCGGTAGACGCCACAGCGGAAAATGTATCACCCTATATTTGAAGTTCGTTCTGGTTAGAAGTAGATGGTTGTTTGGGCACACCTGTAGCAGATGATCACTGTCATCTTTTCAGACAGGATTCCAAAAGTGCCGCAAAAATACTTTTTTGCCCGGTTTTAACTGTACCCACTTTTTCATTGAAATCACCTGCTACGATAATCACATCTGAGCGTTTGATTTTCAGTAGGAGGATAGATATTTTTACTTTCGAACTGCAGTGAGCAGAAAATGTAAAGAAACATCGGTGCGTTTAGCTGTTTTTTTATTATCCTCCTTTCATCCGATCAAACATCCCACAGGAAATTGTCAACTAGAATCCAAAGGAGCAGTGTAGTTTCTGCCGTAAGACGCTATTCTTACAGTTGCAAAATCACGATAACTAGCTATCGAATCACTAGACACTCATACAGTGAACTTTGGGGATATACCACACTAGCTGTTTGTTTAAGTAAGTAACCGCACTTGAATGCTGTATGCATGTCTCGTAAATACAGCATAAATCCATGAGGCAAGATGCCTGAGTTTTCACTGGCTAAACTTGTTGGCCAGTTTGACGGAAGGTGTGACCATTGAAAGCCCCAATATGCGTTTTGTATCATGGTTTCGAAAAACAGGGATGCTGTTCTGCGAATTCGAATCGTTATCAAGAGCTACAAGTTTGGAAGAAATGAAAGAAGACGTACCGATATTGACCGATAGCTATGAGGAAAGACTAGAAGACAAAAGTATGGAGGCTTGGCAATTATATGAGGGAGCTTGAGTGCTGACCGACTTATAAGAGCGGTCTACACTTCTTGGATATCCAGCCTGGGAAAGAAATCGCATTAATGGTGCGTGACCGCACAACCCAAGGGATATCTTCAAGTGCGTCACATGGCTTTATTCGGAGTTTGAGGTTTAGCCTTGATTGACTTAAATTCATTTAGGAAACCCCAACCCCCGATAGCGAAGGACTTCAGATGCATCTATGCATTCATCTTCATCCTAATAGGGTTGATTACTGACAAAATCTGAATTTCGATCTAAAAATCTTCACTTGGCATTTGTCAACTTTTGCCATCTCTAGAGCCGGAAAGGCATCTGACTACTTATTAGAGGATAAATATACTGCAATATAGTCCGCTTTGTCTCCTTATAGGGCTGTCAGATATATCCCTCGAAGGAGATGTTGAGATACAAAAAGAAAGACAAAAACAACGTAGAACCTTACACACAAGTGCATTGGCTCAGGTTGCCACATTTCACAGTATCACCCAAAAAACTAGTAGATAGGAAAAGTGTTATCAAAGTAGACAAAGGGGTATGGAAGGTGGGGAATTTGAAAGCGATGGTTAGTGAAGAAATGTAAGCTTCAAAAGACATTAAAGAGTAAGCGCATCTGCACCATTGTGACCAATTTTCAGCCATTTCGTCAAGAGCCTCCAATAATTGATTCCAATCGTATTGGGAACCCCATTCAGGCAATCTACATCTCCCCAGACGGTTCAGATAAACACTCAGAGACTTCATGGACTGGTGCCACGTCCTGATCTGGCCACACTGACTATTCTTCCGACCTAATCCAACTCCCCCTAGCATGTCATGTCGAGGTACATGGTGGTGGCTTGGCATAAGCAACACGTGTCCAAGGCACTTCAGTCGCTGGAGGTTAAGAGCCTGATCAACCAACTTCCTTTCCTTAGCTAGTACCTTTCGTGTAACATTGACATTACTAACATAGTGATTCCGCTAAACGTGAGCAATGCTACAAAAACACGGCCAAGACCTGTAGTTTCTTCATATCCTACCTTCAACGGCTCTCTCAGCATTTCTCCCATGCGAGTGAAGTGGAGGCTAGGTAGAAAGTGCTAAACAAGTCAGTCGATACGGTAAACCTTTACTGCATGAAGTGGCGTGAATTTGTTTTGCATGCAGAGAAACCTCCTGCCTCTGTGTGGAATGTTAACCTAGGTAGAATTGGGTTGAAAGAATGGCCGCAATATTATGTGGCACTAGTGCATTAGGTCTCTGATTATAGTTCTGAAGTATTCAGGGTAGTGTTCATTGAGATAATACGAAACAATGACTAAGGAAGCTTGGTGACAATGGTGATGTTGCATTCATCCTTTGATGTGGCGACGTGAACTGGTTCACTTCTGACCGACGTTATACATTGACTTGTCTGTCTATATGCCGTCTTGTCCTCCTAAAACTTTTGACTACATTTCACTCTGTTTCTGTCTTTCAGTCTTTGTATCTCGGTGTTATGATTTAACGTATAGCAGCTTCAGCTGTTACACAGTGATGCTAAGTCTCTCTACTTGATTGCGATAGCCATCATTTCACCAAAATGAGCTAATAATTACTACATTCTAGACGATATGTCACTTTAATTACTTCAACCTAGTGTTTATCTGTTTGAATGTCAGTAATGTAATTTTACTGACTAGGTATTTTTTACTACTCAATTTAGCACATACAACACAGATTTTAACGATTTTTACATGGGACCAACTGTTTCAATAGACAAAAGAAAGTCATGATAAAAATTGCCGACTTGAAGTTACAACAAGTGTAACTTATCATTTGACTATCTGAGATAGCCGTAGTTTGGCAGATTAGTATTTATGCTGGGTGATAATTGAAGGTGAGATGAAAATTTGGACCTTTTAGGTCAGTTGGTAGAGCATTGGGTTTGGAACCTGGTGGTCACCGGTTCGAACCCAGCTGCGGTCCAACTTTTCATTTCAGTATAAATAAGTGTTATCTTTGAGTATTTTTATGTAGGTCTTGCTTGTTTTGAGTAGTGCATCCTGTGACTTACTTTTAAACCTTTTCCTTTCACCTTTTACAGATCGAAACGCCGCTGGATACGGTAGTAAAGAAGGACGAAACACCATGGGAACGTGGTCTTCGTTTGGCGCGAGAAGTAAGTGATACTTTCTGTTTCGTAAGCGAAGCATAGTTGTAGAAGACTAGTAGGCAGTCAATACGTTTTGACTAATAGATGTAAAACTTCAGTCTTACCTAATTTAGTACAAATGGGTTTGCTTTAAAGGAAGGAAGAAGAAAGATTCGACTGTCATAAAATCCCTACCATTACATAGAGAATGGATAATTGGTTCAGTATGGAATACCAAAATGAAAAACAGTTGAATGGAAATGGCATAATCAGCAACCATAGGAATTCGAGGATGAAGAGAAGAAAGAATAAAGGAAATAAATAAATATAGCATATTAGCTAGAATGAATGTAGAGCATAGTATGCATCTGCACCATTGCGATATATTCCCAACCACATTGACTGTTACGCGAACCACAAGCTGGAATTCCCTGATACGGCTCATATCAACAGTCAGAGACTTCATGCAAGCTGCGGCTAGGCACTCGAATTTCAGCCGATGGGTCTTAGGCTTGAATCCCTATGTACCTACTGCGGTCTAATCAGTCAGACACTATCACTAACCTTACAACAAATGTGACTTCTTGCGTACTACACCAAGGTACATGTGGTTACTGCGAGCATTTCAGCTTTTTTCCGACTTCATCATAACGCGGATATCGAATCATCCTTAACCATTTTCTCCTTTAACCCCGCTCGTTGGGATAGTTTATGATTGGATATGGATGACGAAGTGCTTTATTTAACATGGTAATCACCAAAAAACGTCATCCTCATTGTAAAGTGAAGTAATTCAGGCCTTTATCAATATTGGAATTTATTATTATTATTATTATTATTATTATTATTATTATTATTATTACAATTTCTCCTTTCGGTTCCTAGTGGAACATAAGGCTTCAGTAGCACGTCTCCATTTCACTCTCTTCTCTTCAGTCTTTTGAACCTGCCTTCGCAACTCTCCACAACCTTTCATTTCTTCCTCACACTATCTCCTCCATGTCACCCTCGTCTCGGACACTCCACTCGTCGTCTCCCTTTTGGATTCGACTCGACGGCCTGGCACGTGATGTCCCTGAATGGTCACCTCAGTGTATGCCCAATCCAATCCATCTCCACTTCCTCCTGCATATTTGTTGGCTGATGGGTTCTTGGCTGGTTGGTTCGTTTTTAGCCAGCCAGCCAGCCAGCAGCCAGAGTTTCTTGTTGCTTATTATTTCTGGCCATCTGAACTTCAGTATCGAGCGAAGGCAGCTGTTGATGAATGTCTGTATTTTGTTGGAAATGCTTTTTGTGAAGCGCCAATTCTCTGAACCATCACATAGAAGCACTGAGTTGACTGAATTGGTGCTGAAAATCCGGATCTTGTTCTCTGTGCTGAGTGCAGAAGATCTCCACACTGACTTCAGGTTGATGTAAGCGTGTCTTGCTGTCCTTCCGATCCTGGTTTTGACGTCTTTATCTGTGTCTGTGCCGCCTGTAGTTGAAAGGATGCTGCCTTGCCTAGGTAGGTGGAAGAGACAACTTCGTGTAGATTTCTGCCGTTGATGGTGATTGGTGCCTCTTGTTGTTGATGCTGTTGTTGGTTGGGTATCTTCATCACCTCTACCTCTGTCTTCTCTACGTTCAGTTGAAGGAATTCGCATCTTCGCTGGCGTGCCTCTTCTGTCAACTTGTTGTTTTTTGTCTGTATATCTTCGAGTTTGTGTCTTCACTTCGAACGCATCACTGAGCTTTCGATTGTGAATCACTTGGCATGTAGCATTATATAGCATATAGCTGTTGAATGAGGTTGATGGAGATTTGTGGCACTGAAAGTGTGGTGTTGAAGCAGCAGCTGCCTGGTAAATTACTTCTCGGTCGAAGGTCTTTTCAAAATCGATGAAGTTGAGTTACAGTTGACTTGACTGGCATTCTATGTTGTGTTCTTTGATGATGCGTAGTGTAGTGCTGCAGTTTGGTCCTCCTGTGTTTTGTTCTTCCTGAGGCCAGCGATCCAGCCAGTCTGTTCTGGTCATCATTTTGAATCCAGAGCATGTTTTAGTCTCTCCAGGATGATGCGGCCTAATGTTTTGGTTGCTTTGGATGGACAGGAGTGGAGCATGATTCCGCAGCAGTTCTTGCAAAGACTTATGTGTCGCTTGTTTTGGAGTTTGACAAGGTATGCCTTCTTCCAATTAATGGGTGGGTACCTTTTTTCCTTGCAAGCCTTCTGCGGTAGTGGTGTGAGTACATGTCAGGTGTTGTCTGTGCATCTGTTTTCAGTGCTTCTGACGGAATTCTATCTTGTGGTGGTGGTTTCCTGAATTTCAGCAGTTTTATGGAGTCAGTCAATGTGCATCTGCCTTCTCATGTATTTCTGAAGCTTTAGCAATTCTAATAAGAAAACCAGAGCTTTGCATGCAATAGAGACTTGTTCAACTCTTGTTACTTTCATAATCATAATTTTTAGCGTTTCTGAACGTCCGCTCTCTTTCTAACTCTTTCTTTCCATTCATAGTATCAACACTTATTTCTCTACCCACCTTGGTTACAACTCATTAACATTTTGTCATGTTACTGGATTCGTTAGTCAAACTTAATCATCTTTGGAAGTAGTATTTATCATGGACTGACGTCAGTTAGAGAACCATTGAAAATCTGGGAATACTGGACAGCTGTTTCGTCCTAGCATGGGACTCCTCAGCAGTACGTACCCACGACCCGGCAAGGGATCGAACTCAGGACCCTCAGGTTTCACGGCGAACGCGTTAAGCATTCAGTCCCTGGGTCGTGAATTGACAGAAGTTGGAAATTGTAAACTACTGGAAACCGACCTAGTGGCTGAATGGTTAACGCGTTCGCTGGGAAACCTGAGGGCCCTGTGTTCGATCCCCTGCCGGGTCTTCGGTGCGTACTGCTGAGGAGTCCCATACTAGGTAGGACAAACCAGCTATCCAGTGCTCCCGGATTTTCAATGGTTCCCCAACTGATGTCAGTCCGTGATGAATAGTACTTCTAAATTAAAAATCCCCATTCATCTCAAAAATACATTGATCATCTTTACCGAACTTCTATGATATCTCGAGCAATACTGACCAATCTCAGCATTTTTATGTCACGACGATATAACTTTGCTTGTTACCACGCCTTTCGATTACTTTTCAATATTCACAAACATTTTGTTTATTTTAAAATGAAAATCATATTTCCATTATATATAAATGCGATTGTACAGCATAGTGAATGAATTTGCCGGAAAGAGTATCTTCGCTGAACCTAGAAAGTCGGCAGGGGCATATCATTGAGTAATATAAGAGTACAACTTGATCATTGTGATAGGATGTAATTCTGTTTTAGTTGATTTATTAGATATCACAGTTGAACAGTATTGTTTACTGGATTACCTTTCGGACAGAATTTATTGTCCACACTCATTTCAAGATAGCCACAGACATTCTTTACACAGTATTAATTCCCTTGCTTTCTTTGTGATATATGGGTAGTAAGGTTTTCCATATATCCGAAACAGGTGCTGAGTCATTTCTGTTGCATGTATCAGGTGTTGATTCGATAAACACAGATTCAGTTATCAATCTCTCCCTCCACCCTCTTATGTTAGTTTTAAGTATTTTCATTACCTCATCATATTGTGTGGTTGTGTAATCATAGGCATAGTTATGGCCAAGTTTTTTTTTTCTAAATTTCTTACTGGGATCTACCGATTTTGACCTTGCTAGGTTTTGTGCTTGAATAGTCTAATTGATCCTTGTCGACTGCTTTGACCTATGTAGTTGACCTCACATTATTCAAAATAGTCGACTAGAGTCAGTTAAGCTATCCAAGCACAAAACCCTAGCTAGGTCAAAGGTGGTAGATCCCAGTAAGGAATTTAGAAAAAAAGCCTTGGTCATAACTATGCCTGTGATCACACACCGCCACACAATATGATGAGACAGTGTAAATACTTAAAACTAACATAGTTTAGTTGAGGGGGAGATTGATGACCAAACCTTTTTTGAGATGAACCGAGATTTTAATTCTGTGGTAGTATTCTTCACAGACTGACATCAGTTGGGGAACTGTTAGAAACCTGGGAACACTGGACAGCTGTTTCGTCCTAGTATGGGACTCCTCAGCAGCACACATCCACGATGAAGAAATTAACGACGAAAACAGTTATGTGTTAGAAAGTCATGAAAAGAGAGCAAAGACGAATGAGGGAATACTGAAATTCAATATGGTGATGAAGATGAAGATAATGTATGGATGCATCTACGCCACTCGAATCGATTCTGGACCATATCTCTTAGAGTCCAACCACTGATGTCTGTTGTCATGCGAACCCCATCTAGGGAGACTGTATTCTCCCCATACGTCTGAGACCAACAGTCAGGAACGTCGTGAACTAATGTCAAGTTTTAATCTGGCCGCTTCTAATCTTTTTCTGAGTGAATAGTTTTCAATCGATTTGAGGATTATAGTGTGGAAAAAATAGAGAATTAAAAATTCACTTTATTTATTCAAAAGGATAAATTCTGATAAATATGTGCTATCAATATTCCAATTTAGTATTTCAAGGAAATTTTTTAAACTCATAGTTCTCCATTTTGTTTTCTTGGTCAATAGCGTTTAGAGCGTACAAAAGCTTTGAAGGCGAAGGAGAAAGATCTTGTTGAAAAACGTATGAATTTGCCTGTCCCGGCGCCAGTTGTAGAGAAGAAGATTGAAGCAGCTTTCGAAGATGATTTCTTGTAAGTCAGGTTATATTAATGGAAAACTATCATTGTTTTGAGACAGATCTATGATAAAAGCTGATAAGTAATGTTTGTAATAAGGTATTCAACTGTTTGAATGTATATTGTTTAGATGATATTTTCCAAGCATGTGGTCATTCTCTGCATATCTTATCACTTGCATTGTAAATACATTGTGAATATCCTTAAGAATATAAACTTTCCCATTATATTGTGAACTTACTTTCATATCTCGTATGAATACACCCATAGGGAAACAGTATCATTCTACTGTCGCATTGCCATGTAGTCGCGATGAAATAACATATATAGCCTATGATATTGATACGTTTGAATTCTACTGTTGAAGTTTAAATAAATGTAATAATATAATTAGAACATAATTTTAGTTATTGATTGATCCAATGGTGCTTGGCAAGTTCACCTGTAAATCAGCAATAATGTAGAAATGCTGTTTTTGTCACCTTGTTGTGACTTGTCAGACTTCGTCCTTTATTGTTCAACTTCACTGTTTCCGATGGATGATTCTCTGTTATGGGTAGTCGTTCAGCTCTTTTCACCTTCATAATTGATTTAAGTTGTACTGAATGGTTGTCTTTTAAACTGAAGTAATTAATCATTTTGTATGCCAACACTTGTGCAGGGAATAGTGGAATATATCTATATTTTGTTAAATATCTTTATTTATGCAATCGCTTCATGTCTGCCACTTTCAACGGGCATGTCTGACAGTGGTACAACAGGACACAATGAACTACATCTCAGTAAACTCATCTAATAGGTGGTCAGATATCTGGCCAGTCGGCGCCATAGATGACGTAAAGTGGCAAATTTCAAACAGACCTTCTATATCTGAGCTGAGATTTCATCAGCAACCAGCCAGTTCGGTGAGCTAATGCAACTCCCCATTAAACTGGGAGTGGTTGCATACCAGTCCTCAGGTAGCATCTTACATTTGACAGATGTAAAATGCATGCCAATTATGCTCATATCAAGACACTGTGACTATAAACAATAAATTATGTCCGTAACGTGATCCAGTAAACAACACTGTACTGCTCTGTGGTAAATCTAATAAATCAATTAAAATGGAATTACATTCTACCACAGTACACAAGTTTTACTCTTATATTAACCAACCCTACTTTGACTAGCATTCATTACACGTCGAGATGGGTGGTGACTCGGCTTACGAAATATATGTCCAAGTCATCTCAGTATATGAAGGTTCACAACCTCAGACTAATTTGCCTTCTTTACCTGGTGTACTCTTCTCATAGTTTCATACTAGATTTGTTCATTCTTAATCAACGTTTATTACGAAATTCATACGAGCACATAAGAAACAAAATACTAACAGTAACACGAGAACGAATAATAACGACAACACGAGTAGAAAGGAGTTCACGGTCTCCATCGTGTTACCCTATAAGGAAGGTACATCAAAAACATTAGGTAGGATTCTCAACAAAGTTGGCATTACCGTGGCATTTAAACCTACAAACTCACTCATGGATAAGCTTTGTCAGCCTAAGGACCCGGCTGTTCCATTTAAGCAAAATAATCTAATCTACCAAATTCCATGCAATGACTATGAGGTCAAGTACATAGGTGAGACTAGCCGTTCGGGGTCAGTTAGATTAGCGGAAGGTAGGAATTAAGCTAAATATGGAATGAAAGACCCGAATAAGATCAGTAATCTAGAAAAACCTCGTCTATTGCAATGCATACATTAACACAACCACTGTACTTAAGTTCAGTGTAATTAGGTGGAGAGAGAGAGAGAGAGAGAGATGCATTACACAATTTCATTTTTATTGATTTATTAGATTTATCACACACTGTAACAGTATTGTTTACTGGATTACGTTTCAGACATAATTTATTGACCATAGTCATATCAAGATAACTACACAACTTTGAGGTATCCTTTATATAGTCCTAATTTTCTCGTCTCTGTGAGATGGGCAGTAAAATTTTCCATAAATTCGGAACAGGTGCTGAGTTATTCCTGTTGCATGTATTAGGTGTTGATTCGATAAACACAGATTCAGTTATCAATCTCTCCCTCCACCCTGTTATGTTAGTTTTAAGAATTTTCACCCTGTCCTATCCTGTATGGTTGTGTGTAGTTGTATGCAGAGCCATAGCTGAGCTTTTTTCTAAATTCTTAACCTTACTAGGATCTACCAATTTTGACCTAGCTAAGTTTTTATGTCCCGATAGCCTAATTGATCCTGGTTGACTACTTTGACCTATGTATTTGACCTCGCAATCGTTGGTCAACTAAGTTATTCTGCTTAATTGGGTCAATAGGATCTTTTAACCTACAAAGTTTATTTCGATGTGAGTTTGTAGGTTTAAATGTCACTCTAATCCCAGCCTTACTGAGAATCCTACGCAGTGTTTCTGAGGTGCCTTCTTCTTTATATGGTAATACTGTGGAGGTTTTGAATTCTCTATTCACAGTATTGCCGCTAATATTATCAACATCATTATTACTATTATTGTTGTTGTTGTTATTACTACTACTAATAACTGTTACTGATATTTTTCTTACAATTCCTAAGGAGCTTATCAATTAATTTGGGAGGGTAATTGTTGATGATTAAGGCGTCTTGAATGTATCTGGTTTCTTGTTTTAGATCTTCTATTTTACTAGTAAGCTTTTTGGACCTGTTACTTAGACACTTTACTAAGCCAACTTTAACCGACATAGGTGAGACGATTTGAAGTCTAAGTAACGGTTTGAATGTGAAGGTTTTCTGTAGGCACTAATGTCTAAACTCCCATCTTGTTTCCGTTTTATTCGGCAACTGATAACTGAATCTGTGTTTATGAATCAACACCTAACACATGCAACAGGAATAACTCAGCACCTGTTCCGAATTATGGAAAATTTTACTGCCCATCTCACAGAGACGAGAAAATTAGGACTATATAAAGGATACCTCAAAGTTGTGTAGTTATCTTGATATGACTATGGTCAATAAATTATGTCTGAAACGTAATCCAGTAAACAATACTGTTACAGTGTGTGATAAATCTAATAAATCAATGAAAATGGAATTACATTCTACCACAGTGCACAAGTTTTACTATTATATTAATGGATTACGCAATCTTTGATCGTCGAATCTACACCCTGCACATTTAATGGGAATGACGCAACCAGAGATATGGGAAATTTTACTGCTAATAAAAACAAAGAATATGAGGTGACACAACTATCAAAATCAGATAGCAAATGGAGTATGATTACATTGATACTCTTCGCTTAACGTGGACATTGCTGCCACGGTGATTTCATCATATGGGAGCAATGCTGCCAATACCATTGTGATAAAAAACCTGAATTTTATTTATATCTATCCTCAACAATCATATCTCACAACTGTTAAATAGGACAGAACGGACTGCAGCAGATGATACTACAGCTTTAACCGATAGTCGGATATCTCGCTGCTGCCAAAGATGACTCAAGTTAATGTATGCCAAGTGGCCAGACATGATTTAATCATTACTTAAATAAGTTTTAATATAAAATAAATCACTGGAAATGCCTAGTAGGAACAATTTTCAACTATACACAAACTGCGCTCCAAAAAGAAAATTAAGGAGAAGGTGACCACTATCAAATACTGCGTGTATGAAAATGCCTACCCATAGTAGGACAAAAACCGAAAGCAATTAAGTGCAGCACAGTTTAGAAGAACCCTATTTTTCTATATCTTGCTTTCAAAGGGGTTGACATTGCCGCAAGCATCGACCACAGACTGAGTGCTGTACTGAAAACAACCTGCCCAGCCGCCAAGATAGTCTGTATGTACCAGACTAACTGCTTAATGAGACAATCCAAAGTGGATAAGTTTCAAACTTGTTATTATTAAAGTTTGTCCCTTGAGTTCCTAGTGGAACATAAGGCTTCAGTAGCACGTCTCCATTTCACTCTCTTCTCTTCAGTCTTTTGAACCTGGCTTCGCAACTCTCCACAACCTTTCATTTCTTCCTCACACTATCTCCTCCATGTCACCCTCGTCTCGGACACTCCACTCGTCGTCTCCCTTTTGGATTCGACTCGACGGCCTGGCACGTGATGTCCCCGAATGGTCACCTCAGTGTATGCCCAATCCAATCCATCTCCACTTCCTCCTGCATATTTGTTGGCTGATGGGTTCTTGGCTGGTTGGTTCGTTTCTAGCCAGCCAGCCAGCCAGAGTTTCTTGTTGCTTATTATTTCTGGCCATCTGAACTTCAGTATCGAGCGAAGGCAGCTGTTGATGAATGTCTGTATTTTGTTGGAAATGCTTTTTGTGAAGCGCCAATTCTCTGAACCATCAAGAAGCACTGAGTTGACTGAATTGGTGCTGAAAATCCGGATCTTGTTCTCTGTGCTGAGTGCAGAAGATCTCCACACTGACTTCAGGTTGATGTAAGCGTGTCTTGCTGTCCTTCCGATCCTGGTTTTGACGTCTTTATCTGTGTCTGTGCCGCCTGTAGTTGAAAGGATGCTGCCTTGCCTAGGTAGGTGGAAGAGACAACTTCGTGTAGATTTCTGCCGTTGATGGTGATTGGTGCCTCTTGTTGTTGATGCTGTTGTTGGTTGGGTATCTTCATCACCTCTACCTCTGTCTTCTCTACGTTCAGTTGAAGGAATTCGCATCTTCGCTGCCGTGCCTCTTCTGTCAACTTGTTGTTTTTTGTCTGTATATCTTCGAGTTTGTGCTACAAGATATCATATATAAATCGTCATCGTGAGTGAAGTCCAAATCTTCTTGTGGGGTCTTTTCATCGATCCAGGTAGCGTATGCCATCTTCTCCATCTTCACAGTTTGTTGCATAATCCAGTCGAGTCGAGTCGAGTCGACTGCAATCAGGAAGATGATGGGTGAAAGCAGGCGGCAGCCATGTCTTACTTCTTCCTGTCTTCACTTCGAACGCGTCACTGAGCTTTCGATTGTGAATCACTTGGCATGTAGCATTATATAGCATATAGCTGTTGAATGAGGTTGATGGAGGTTTGTGGTACTGAAAGTGTGGTGTTGAAGCAGCAGCTGCCTGCCAAATTACTTCTCGGTCGAAGGTCTTTTCAAAATCGATGAAGTTGAGTTACAGTTGACTTGACTGGCATTCTATGTTGTGTTCTTTGATGATGCGTAGTGTAGTGCTGCAGTTTGGTCCTCCTGTGTTTTGTTCTTCCTGAGGCCAGCGATCCAGCCAGTCTGTTCTGGTCATCATTTTGAATCCAGAGCATGTTTTAGTCTCTCCAGGATGATGCGGCTTAATGTTTTGGTTGCTTTGGATGGACAGGAGTGGAGCATGATTCCGCAGCAGTTCTTGCAAAGACTTATGTGTCGCTTGTTTTGGAGTTTGACAAGGTATGCCTTCTTCCAATTAATGGGTGGGTACCTTTTTTCCTTGCAAGCCTTCTGCGGTAGTGGTGTGAGTACATGTCAGGTGTTGTCTGTGCATCTGTTTTCAGTGCTTCTGACGGAATTCTATCTTGTGGTGGTGGTTTCCTGAATTTCAGCATTTTTGTGGCGTTCAGGACTTCTGCTTTTGTTGGAGGGCTTGCGCGTTAACTGGTCATTCTGTGGTGGGCTGCCGGTGACATTTCTTGACGAGTTGCAAGTGGTGGTCGATTCGTTTCGTTTGTTTTGTTTCTCATGTTTGATGGTTATTGAGTTTTCTTCACTACCTCGCATTGGTTGCTTCTGCGTTGATCTCTTGCCTCCCAGATAGTATTTCAGTTATTTGATATAGTGTTGTCAGGTCTCTCCTACCTGCAGCCTGTTCTGCTTCCCTTGCCAATGTGTCGTAGATGTGTCTTTTGTCTTTGCACGCCTTCCTCTTCACTTCTTCGTCCGTTGTAATGTTTTATAGTTTGTGTTCAGTTTTTCTTTTCTTTGTGCATCCTTGCACTGGTTCATGTTCTGCTTCACCATCTTCCTGTCTCTCGTCTATCAGCGTCCATGTGTCCCTCGAAACCCATTCCTTGTCCTATCTTGCTTCTTATTGCTTGTTAACACGGTTATGTAGGTTTCTTTCCACATCTCCTTCAAAGAGTTCCAGTGTTCTTCCATACAGGTTTCCTTGGGGATGTTGCCTAATGTCTCCTAATGTTTCATGATGACTGACTGATGTGAAGATATCTTCAGTAGTTTGTTCTGCAGTTTCTGTTCTGGATGTTGAACTTGAACTGCGGTCTATCACCAGTTTCTGTAAAGGCTTTCAATTTAATCTTGAAGGTAGGTTCCTTGCACTAGATGGTGAGTGGTGTGAAACCTCATCTGCTCCCTTTTTTAATCTGATCTTGTGTCCAGTAGGCTGCGTCTCCACTTTCTTCACATTCAAATGAAGTCTATCTGATTTTTAGTGTATCAATCTGGTGAAATCTATGTCTCTTTTTCAATATCCTTGTGTTTGTATACAGTGCCTCCAATCACCAAATCACTGAATGTGCAGAATTCTGCAAACAGTTCTCCATTCTTTTTCATTTCACCGAGTGCTTCTTGACCCATGATTGGTTCTTTTCCTGTGTCGTTCACTCCCAGTTTGGCATTTATGTCACTCCACCAGTTAAAATGAATTTTAATGTCGCCAACCAGTCTTGTCCACTACTGATTGCAGTTGTCTGTGGGATTCCTCCTTCTTCTCTTGATCTGCATTATTTGTAGGTGCATAGCGTAGCATTGTATGATTGTCACTTTCTTTCCTTTTGAGTTGAACCTTGTTGTCATGATTCTGTTCGTTGAGTAGATTGGTTCCGACTGCATGAGAGTGAGCCTCTGATGCTTTTGAGCGGAGACATCATGATGGCCACTCCAAAACTCAGTGTGGTCGTGGTTGTCGTTTGGATGACCGGAGTGGATTATTAACTCCTCTGCAGTTGACAGTTTGGAAAGTCCACTTCCATTCGATCTGCTTTCTCGGATTCCTAGTACTTCTATGCTATATCTTGTCATCTCTTTTGCAATCTGGGCAGCCTTGCTATGTTCGAACATTGTTCGGACGCTCTGTGCTCTCATTTTTACTTTCGGTTTCATCGAGGGAGATAAGGCACATCGGCCAGTTTGCTCTTCGAAGGCTTTCACCAACTGGGGTCATTTCGCCTATCCGATTCCAGCTAGGAATAAGTTTACTTTTATGTTACATATTTTGTTTGTGCTTCGAAGTTTGTTTAGCGGTTAGATTGGTTTTACGGGGTAGGGTTGCTAGCCCTACGCCCAACCTTCCCTCTTTATCCGGGCCTAGGACCGGTTAGTAACTAGTGAACTAGTTACCTATGTGAGGTTCCAGTATGCGACAGAATCGCCTGAATTTTCACCTATAAACTTTCATGAACCTTTGTTGTTTTTTTCTTTCTCGCCATTGAATCTACTTCGAAACCTACTCTCACTTTCTGAGTTGTATTCATCTTATTACTCAATCTATTGAAAAACTGTTAACCTTTCACTACGCTTACTTAATGTTATATTTTACTAGTCTTAGAAATGACCTTATGTACCATCCCCTTCCATTTCTGCTATATTCTCTGGAATATTTCCTCTATAACTGAGTCAGTGGTTAACTATAGACTGTGAATTGTATCCGGAACGTGATCTAGTAAATAATACTGTTCCACTGTGTGATTCATCTAATAAATCAACCAAAATAGGATCACATTCTACCACAGTGCACAATTTTTACCCACATATTAAGTAGTTAGCCTCTCAGTAGTCTTGACAACATCAATAAATTTCACCGATTTGAGTCAGCCTACATTTTTTCAAGTCGTCCATCTGAGTCAAAACATTCTTGTTAGTATTTGAAAGTACGTCGTGTACCTTGTTATAATAGGTATTATAGTCTGTAGATTATGAAGCAGCTGAGGAGAATCCACGAAATACATCCATGCTAATTCTGCCACTACTATTTTTATTTTGTTCAATCCTTGTAAAATTGGAAGTATGTAGATTCATTTCCCTTGGTATGTCTATGACAACATTGAACTAGAATAGTGACAGCGGGCATTCTTGGTGGACACAACTGGTTGTCGTTACTTCAGACAACAACTCCATAGTCCCTTACATGGTTGCATGACTCCAAATAAGTTTTGATTAGCGTTATTTACTTCCTCAGTACTCCCTTCATAATAAAATATCTCCTGATCGACATAGTCGAATATATCACCTTCAAGTCAATATATATGTCAAGCGTTAAGTACCGGTAAGTATTTCTGTGTCCTAAGACTTATCTAAGGTTGAAGATTTTGATTGATGCACCCCCGTCCAAGCCTGAAACCTGTCTGTCTTTCTCGTAGTTCTGTCCTTGAACTCCATCTAGATGTTATATAACTATGCACCATAGGAATATGTATTTAATGTTAGTCAAGCTATAATCCGCCTGTGATTGTTTCACGAAAAATTCACTCGTTTCCTATCATAAAATATTCACTAATTAGGTAAGTTGAGGTACTAAGTGGACTTTAGCCGAATTTTTAGTTGTTATTTATAAAATAGACATTTGTTGAAACTTCTTTTCCGTGCACTGTGGCTATCTTATACCATGGGCAAATAGAATTCACTAAACGATCCGTGATTGATAACTAGTGTTATAAAAACTGTATCTACTTGCTGAATTATTTGTTAACGTATATTTAGTGTTGGGTATTTGGAAGGATTGACTAACCGACTCAATCATTACCTGTAGATAGTCATTTAGTGACTCAGTAGCTTGATAATAATGTTTTTGATGAGTTGTTGGTCAATTAGAGGTGACTGCTTCTAACCACTGAACAATAAATAAACTTCCTATAGAAACAAGTGTATCTTTTTCATAGGTATATATTTACTTATAATCTATGACTTCATGATGGTTCCATGTTACTTTCAGATGGCCTTGCTATTATCAAGCAAGTATAATCGGGCGTACCGAATTAACTGGTCACCGATACCTACCAGAAGATATTCTCCCTCCAAGTGCAAGTGAAGCTGCAGAGTGGCGCCGACAAGTTACAAAACGTCATCGTGGTCGTCATCAGCGTCGTCGTAGTGGCAGTCAAAACTTTTCTTCTGCCTCATCATCATCATCTGCTTCATCGTCATCGAGAAGTACTTCCCGTAGTTCCAGTGGATCTTCAAATATCTCATCCTTAGCATCTGTTGCTGTATCATGGAAAGAAACATGTGCTAAAGCCATGAAACCTTACTTGAGGTCACCTAGACCTCGACGTAAATATGATAGCAGACATTCATCTTGTAGCAATTCTCGATCTTCTGATTCTGATTCACGGTCGGTTCGATCTCATTCAGCTTATCCTACGGCAGCAAGTGGTGCTAGGTCTGGAAATATAGCTGATCGAAACCGTAGTTACTGGGGAGCTGGAAAGCATCGAGGTAGAAACATTGAGTCTGGTAGATCATCTGCTTCAAGATCCGATTCTAAATCATCTGCTGGATCTCGTGATCGTCCGCGTAACCAGACTTGGTTTGGAGGTTGGTTCACTTAGTTATTCTCCTCAGAAATACTGATGCATTATTTGTTTCCTAATTCACTGGGTTAAATAGTAGAATTTAGTAAATAGTGATCAAAGATTATGTAACTAAGTGGATTCTCAGGAGAGGATGATAGTTCGAAAGAATGTGGGTTTCTAGGATTCACCAAGTGAATATCTTGTACTTATCACTTACTATACAACCTGAATTTGTGACTAGTCGAACATTTTGTCCCTAACTGTCCTATCCAACGGAAGATGAGTGTGCAGAGATTTTACCCCATTATTCATACCCCTTAGCGTTAAAATTATTCATCCATTGCATGAGTGTTTGAGACGATATTCGTTGTTAAATGTTAACAAATGTTTGATTTAACTGGTTTTGTGATATTTTGAAAATAATGGAAAATCAGTGTACTGTATACTTTTTTGTCTAGTGGACATTTCAGCGGTAACTTTATTAGTGTAGATTGTATACTTCGACTTCCTATGATAAATTCTGCAAAACGAAAAGTCATGAAGCATGAAACATTGCGCTTACAAATTGATCTATAGCTTCTAATAAAGTTGATTGAAACTACAGTTACCCTTAAAGTTTTATCAAATCATTATTACTACTATTATTCATTGCTTGCCAAGTAAAGTGTCCACAGCTTTTAAACAGAATCCGCTCCAGTACTTTCTTATGGACTTATGACACGTCCAATTTAGGTTGACAAAGAGTTTGCGTAATAGTTATGAGTAATAGTTGGCAACTAAACCGATGGGACAATGGTTAGCGAGGCAGTTTCTGATAAAAATGGACTAGTAGTAATTCACTGTCGAAGAGGACTAAGAAGAAACAATGTGACCGGCTACCTCACTGACTGGGATTGCTTGGGGATTTGTTGCACAGATTCAGTCAGTCTTCCCTGAGGCATAATTTTAGCTGTGATAGGATCAGTTTGAACGAAAGCTGAAGGCGAACAGATGGAGATATAGCAATAATCCATGAAGTCGTTAACAGTTGATGTGATCGGTGTAGGCTGTGTGACTTCTATCTTTTATATGATCGGAACCAATAACTGAAGAATTATGGTGATGTGGCTCAAACTTGGACACAATTACACTCTCTTTCACCTTCTGTATTTCGAACAGACCTATTAACCTCCATGAATTCATCTCTTTCCCATACATTTCTCCTTAGATTAATATGATTCTTTTTCTGTTCACGTCATTGCATACTGATACAGTTTCCAAGATCTTACTTATTCCATAACTTTCAGCTTATGAAAGCTAGTGATTGTGTATATTGTCTACTTATATTTAAGTGGACTATGCATTTCCCTTCCCTAAAGTACTCGTTTATTTCTAATTATCTATATGCCCACACACACAGATTTCTGTAACTGAAATGGAAGTCGCATAACGTCCACTATGAATTAAATGTATTCTCAAAATTGTTCGTTTGTAACGTTATTCCAGTGCTCTACTGCATAGCTGTGAAACATAGTCATTAAAGGTAAAAGACATCAGAAAGGCTTCCCGTGTTTGACCACCACTGCCTTCGAAGCACAGATCGTGTTTCGCGGTGTCACCACGTGAGTAACGCAGAAGTCAGGTGTAGAGTTTTAGGGAGAAGGGGTAAATCAGTTGACACAGTCGATAAAGCGGTAGGTAGGATGTAGCGCCCCAGGTAAGTGAAGTGATCGACACAGTCCATCACTTCACTCCCTAAAATTAACCTAGAAGTCCGTGCAGTCTAATCAGAAAGTATGATCTCAAATTTGACAAGTTCGGAACGTAAGCCAAACATCCACAGATTTCTGCTTTAAGCGTTTAGAAGGCCTTGCATTTTGTCAACGTTCCCACCTAGCAGGACAATGTCATCTAATTACTCCAATTCAAGCCCATGCTGCCCATGGAGTAGATCAATCTCTGTGAAGTAAGAGGTACCCAAAGTTATGTCTATTAATACGTCTATAGTGAAGTCAAACTGGAAAGATATTAGTCTAACTGATTCTGTTATGGTTGTCACAAGACTTTTCATCCTTCTCACAGACTGGATAATCAGTAAAGTTGACCAGTCTGATGAGACTACCTCTGATACTCATACATTACCTGGTACCTGCGTAACTTTAATTAGCGACCTCCTACCTCCGTCCTTGAGTACTTCACACCATGTCAAACAGTGTCTGACGTGGTGTCCACCAAGCTCAACTCAGCGATGGACATAGACAGACCACATTGCTACCAGTCATCTCTGGAGAGGGTCGGTGGAAGACCGTCGCTCCTTCTGGAGTACGTTTTTGGATAGCTACCATGTGTTGATCCGAGCGCGTATATGCCTACATCTCAATGGACGTAGAAAAAATTTGGTAACAAAACCACTACGAGTGCTGCTGGCTAACGAAAACACCCGAGCCGCTTTCAATAAAATTCGCTAGGCAGTTATCGGAAAAGAAGACTGTCACTCATCCAGAAGAAGCTTGATGCCATCTCCAGTCTGATGTAAAAGCAGCGCTGAAGACCGTAGTCGACTACGAGAGAGTGGCTACAAAGAGCCAGTGGATATCAGCAGCTTCTTCCAAACTAATGGATGCACGTAAACACATCCCTGCAGGCTCCGAGTACAATGAAGAGCGAGCGCAACTTAAAAGTAGATTGAGAAAAAGTCTACGCAACGACCGCGAACAGTGGTGGGCAGTGAAGTCTAAAGAGATGGAAAAGGCACCGACGATTGGTAACAGTAGACAGTTATTTAGACTTATTCAGGAAACGGGGGGGGAACAGTCAACAACAGTCAGTGAGACCATAGCAGAGAAGGATGGGTCTACTATTCACTCGCAGAGGAGACGACTGGAACAATGAGCTGAACACTTCGAGGAGCAGTTTGACTAGCCTCCGGGCACCATTGTGTTCCCCACTATCCAGTCGGATCCTGAATAGAACATTGAGATAGGCCCCCCAACACCAGGAGAAGTCGAGAGAGCTGTAGGTAACCTGAAACGAGGAAGGGCAACAGGACCAGACGGACTAACTCTTGAGGTATACAAGGATGGTGGTAAGGGGCTCTTAGTCAGGTCAGGTTAACAGAAGTGTTAACCAGTATATGGGAATCAAATACGAACCCCTCTGACTGGTCTAAATCACTGATTATTCCAGTCTTCAAGAAAGGCGAGAAGTCCTCCTGTGATAACCCAGAGGAATCAGCCCGGAGAACATAGTGTCTAAGATCCTAGGTTCCATAATTCTCCGACCCGTGAGTGGAGCTCGGGAACAGCAAGCGCAACAAAATCAGGCAGACAGGCTTTAGACCCCGCCGTGGATGTATCACCCAAACATTCACACTGTGCCAAGGTCCTGGAACATAGGCACGCTTACAGACGCCCAGCACTAGCTGTATTTCTCGACTTGAAGGCGGCGGCGTTCGACTCCGTTGATTGAGAAATCTTATGGCAATGCCTCTCACTGAAAGGTGTGCCGAATAAGTACATCACCTTATTGAAAGCTCTCTACTCTCTCTCTCTCTCTCCATTCTTATTCAATTTTATCATAGATATTCTTATGGAGGTCTCTCTCGTCACCTGACTACACACAGGTTGACCTAATCGGTGGGGAATTTTCGCTAGACCTGAGATACGCAGATGACATAGTCCTGTACTGCACAATAGTTCGCTCTGTTCTACTATATGGCTGTGAAACATGGCCATTGAAGGTGGGGGACATGAGAAGGCTGGCTTCAGGTGTTTGACCACCGCTGCCTTCGTAGTATAGGCCGTACTCCGTGGTGTCACCACATGAGTAACGCAGAAGTCAGGTGTAGAGTTTTAGGGAGAAGAGGTAAGTTGGTTGACAGAGTTGTGAACCTTCATCGACTGTGATGGTTAGCTCCGACATGTGTTGTATACACCTAGTCGCCGATTGCCTCATCACACAATGTTGACCGAAGTAGGTTCAGGCTGGAAAAGGCCCGAGGCGGTCAGACTAAGCATCAGACATGGCATCAATGTATGAAGTGTTTGACTGTTGGTTTGAGCCATGTGGGGCGATGCAGAGTGGCTGTTTGGGGTCGGCGGGACAAGAGAAACCGGTGTTTGAAGACTAGGTGATCACATGGCTGAGAACCAACATCAGTGGTGAGATGTTTACACGCATTATCCTCATCCTAACCGCTACACTCAATCTCGTCATCTCATTCTTCCTTCCTTTTACCACTTTCAACTTCTACTGACCAATTTTTCTTTCCTTCTTCCATTTTACTGCCTTTTTACTTGATGTGCTGATATGGGGTGTCGCAACTCGGACCGTTACGCAGTTAATGCCTGGTCCTATGTCGATCTTGATGATAAATGATAAAATAATAATAATTGATTTTGCCTAGTGGCTCATTTATTCACATGATCACAGTGTATTGGATTCGATCGAAATGCGCCTAGCATACGCGTACACTTTTGTGCAGTAGACTTTAAATGGGTGTCAACTGTAGTCATACTAATTGCGGTAACCTTATTTGTACATCCTTTCTTTTAGGTGCTGGAGGACGATCTGGAGATGTAAAGTCGTCTAAAAATGATCGTCAAACAAACCTACGTACTGGTCGAAGATCTAAATCATCTGGTTCTCCACCTCGGTAATTTCTTTCTTTTTGTCATTAGCTTAAATAGGTTATTTCTGTGATGTAAATACTTCTTTCTTGCTCATAATGATGGTTTAACACATCCATCTTCGTTTATTCCTCTAGCCGACGTACTGATGTTCCACCTCTTCCGAATGAAAGACCGATTAAAAGACCTTGGGTTGTAGCACCATCACTTGCTGCAGCACAGAATTTGTCTAAAGGTAGGTTTTGTTGGTAAACATTAACTTATGGTTATCTACTGATTCCTTTACTTTGTGATGCGTCTACTCATTGATATCTAACTGTTACTATATATTGACTTTGAAAAGAGATAGATACTGTTTCACAGTTGCAGACAACAGAAGGTGGCGTCAACATTTCTCGAAGCTGTGATTAGAGATCCGTTTGATTTCCTAATTGTTACTATGCACCTCATATTCTTGACGTATTGTAATTTTAATAGGGAATTTTCTAGAGTTTACCATTAAGGTTTTAAAACTACGAGGTTTCATTTTGTCAAAAAGTAAGAATCGTAGAAATCTATCAAAATCATGTATTTTAACACTATTGTTTTTGCATCTACATGATCTTCAACTCATTTCGAGTCTCAGGCACGTTATTTCATCTGTCAGACAACTAATCGTCCACTATTGGGTTGTTCTGTGGACATTTATTCAGTGATCTAGATTAGTAAATACTTGACTGATCTCACATACACGATCATCTTTATGGTGAATAATGGATGTATCTTCTTCTGGAACGTATTAGTTATCAGTTACACAATACTACTATGCATTGGGGTGTTTACCCTCCATTGTAATAAGGGTATGTTATAAACTCTTTAAAAAATAGTCCCTTTCGTATCTATGTCATACTCACAAGTATGTTATGATTACTTGCTCAGTGAAGTTATCCATCTTTATGGCATATAACGGGAGTTTATGAAGTTCCATAATTTTCGATGTGTTATTAAAGTGATTTGTTAATTAGTAGTTTCTCTGTTGAATAAGTTTTTCTTATATATGTGGCCGCTAGGAATATAATTAATGATGTTACAGCATTGAAATTAGTAAAGGATGGGAATACACCGTAACAACACGTCTATATGCAACTTTTTGTTTCAAATTTCTGTTAGTTGTATGTTTATTTTGACTCTTCTGCACATATTACGTCGAAATAGATCTCTGCTACTTAGATTTTAGTCCCTGAACAGCAAATTACACGTCACTAAAACTCTATCACACATCATTATTATTATTAGGTGTATAGCAATTGATGTATTTAACCATCGCTACTGAATCATGAATTGTTTTGATTAAAATAACTTTCACATGAAATTCTTCGGATTGAAACTGTTAGTTATATTTTAGTACCTCTTTCGAAAATACTTTGTCTGGTGAGATACTCGTACAGTTGAAATGAAACTCAGTTATTTAGTATTGAAATAAATGTTAGTTGTAGAAGCTATCAGCTTTCATATTATTATTATTACTTTGGGTTCCTAGTGGAACATACGACTTCAGTAGCACGCCTTCATTGCACTGTCTTCTCTGTGGTCTTTTGAACCTGGCTCCACGACTGCCCACAAGCTTTCATTTCTTCCTCACATGATCTCCATGCCACCCTCGGACGCCTACTCATTTCCCCTTTGGATTCCACTCGAGGGCCTGACACGTAATCTCCCAGCCGGCCTTCTCAGTGTATGCCAACCCATCTCCATTTCCTTCTGCGTATTTGTTGAGTGGTAGGTTCTTGTTTGGTTCGTTGCAGGCCAGAATTCCTTGCTGCTTATTTTTATTATTCTGGCCATCTGAGCTTCAGTAACGAGCCAGTGTAGGCAGTTGTTGATGAATATCAGTAGTTTGTTGGAAATGCTTTTCGTGACACGCCAAGTTCCTGAGCCATATAGCAGCACTGACGCTTAATTGTTGAAAATTTGGATCTTGTTCTTTGTACTGAGTGCAGTAGACCGCCACACTGATTTCAGATTAGTGAAAGCCTGTCTTGCTTTTCCGATCCTGGTTTTGTCATCCTCGTCTGTGCCACCTGCAGTTGAAACGATGCTGCCTAGGTAGGTGAAAGAGACTACTTGCTTTAGGTTTCTCCCGTTAATGGTGATTGTTGTTCATGCTGTTGTTGGTTAAGTATCTTCAGCACCTCCGTCTTATCTACATTCACTTGAAGTCCATCTCCGCTGCCCTGCCTCTTCTGTCAACTTGTTAGTTTTCGCCTGTAGATCTTCTATTCTATGCGACATTAAATATAAATCATCGGCTTCCCGAAGGCTTTCACCAACCGGTGTCGTTTCGTCTTCCCGATTTCGGTGAGGAATAAGTTTGTTTTCATTTTTCATATTTTCTTTGTGCTTAGAAGTTTCTTTAGCGATTTGATTGGGGGTTGCTAGCCCTATGCCCAACCTTCCCTCTTTATCCGGGCTTAGGACCGGCTAGTAACTACTGAACTAACTAACCAGGCTAGGTTTCAGCTTTCATAAGTTGACTAGTATCGTAGTAATATGTACACATTGCTTTTCTTGATGTTTTTTAAATATTTGCTTTTTCTAGGTGATGGACGTGTCAAAGACCATCCGCGGTCATCCTCCGGATCTCGAAGTCCTACTGGTAAAGATACTGACGAAAAAAGATACATCACGTGAGTTGATTTCCCATGCATAGATGTATATGTATATTCGTGTACTTTTTGTCCAGGATATTGCCATCAGTAATCATAAACTTCACTGAGTTATCCATTTTTCAATTTTGTGTCTTTCTGCCTAATATTGTGTCCAAGATTATAAGGTTCATAGTTATCCGACGCCTACCGGCGAACTCATAAAAACTAGGTAGGTTTTACACCTGGATGACGGTCCTTCGGTCATATTTTTGCTTTACGACAGACTATGGAACACAGGCATACATACCGGTGGCCGACACTTGCCATATTTCTTGACGGAAGGTGACATTCGACTCTGTCGACCGTGAGGTGTTGTGGCGATGTCTGACTGTGAAGTGGATATTGGACATAACCTTAGGTACGTCTGACTTCACAGGGATGAAATCTCAGCTTGGATACGGAAGGCCTATCTGGCATTTACAACCTACATCACATGAAGCGGCGATTGACGAGATATCCGACTATCTATCAAACAATGAGTATGCTGCACTGCAGTTTGTTCTGTCCCTTTGTACGGCTATGAGACATGGCAGTTAAAAGTAGAAGACATTAAGTGGCTGCAGAGTTTTGATCATAGGTGCCTTCGTATCATTGCTCGCCGGCAAGTCGATTGATGAGGTTGTTAATCTTAGTCGACTGAGGTGCTTTGGATATGTGCTGCTCATGGCGAGCTACTACCTATCTGGACTTTCCACACTGGTGGAAGTTGGATTAGGTTAGAAAAGGGTTCAGGGTGGCCAGACCAAGAAGTAGCACTAGTCGAGGAAGTCCCTGACTGTTGGTCTGAGCTATGTGTGGAGATGCAGACTACCTGGGTGGGTTCTCCAAAATGAAAGAATTCAGCGGTTGAGAAATGACTTGATGACATGGCTGAAAATCTGTGTCACTGGCGCAGATGTATTCATTCCTCGACATCTAAAGCTTGAATATTCACACTAACTTTTATTTTGAGATTTTTTATTCTCTCACACTATTTCATCTTCTCTGATATTACTCTTTTTCTGTCCACCTGTTCTTTGTGTATTACTGTGAAGTGTGTCAACTGGAGCCAATGCACCTGTATGGGAGGTTCTACGTTGATTTTGTCAATCAATCTCTATGCTTGTACTAACTATTACTAGCTGTTAAGTACGAAACGTGTCCTAACACTATATTCATCATACCAGCTAACTTATGGGAATACAACGTCCGATTGGGTCAAAAGCAGGTGATCTGACCAAGTTATCATAAATAAAAACTGCTGATGAAGAACACAGTCATATGTTTTTATTGGGTATCAAGCTTAGTTTTTAGATGTGTTGTCATCAATTAGATGGTTACGAATAAGAGGAAAAAATTCCCAGAGTGCTTACACCATGGAGTAGTATAGTACGAATCTATAAAGTCTTTTTCTATTGGTTTAAGTCATTTGAGCAGATGTGTGTTTCCTGATTGAACTTCATAAGATACTACAAATCAATATTTGAAGATCTGAAATCTTTCAGCCTAATTTTACAGTAATGGTACAAACTTATTAATTTTTGTTTTCTCGTTAGCTATACGTTTTTATACATTTTGATACACTTTAATTTTCAATGATTGCCTCTTTCTATGCTTCTACTAATTGTATTATTGTGAATCGATGCAGTTTTTCACTTATATGTAGCCTCTTTGTCTATAACAAGTTGAATAGGTAACAGTAATTTATGGTTAAACACGTTAAGCAATATAAAATATAGTTGATATCAGTATATGAAGATACGCCGTCTTTGTGTGTCTCCCTCTGAAATCTTGAACAACCAATTGACATTATTATGAGTGTTCTTAATTTTTCTAGCATTCCTGGTGGTTTTTTCGTTTTCTTTTCTTGATCTACTATTTAAAATTGTAATTGATAGTTACTGTTATACTGTTTTACTCAGTCAGCAATATATCCTAGTTGTTTACTTAACGGGGATAATCTTTGTAACAAGTTAGAATCAAATATATGAGTAATGCATACCAAACATGGATGTTGTTTTAGGTTGATAAAACTACTACTCAACTGCAACCTAGTGACAGTAACTTCTGGAACCTTATGTCTTCAACTAAATGGTATTGTCATTCGGAATCACACGAAGTGGTCAGCGCCGTTTGAAGTCTATCGATTCAAGTTCACACGTAGTCACTAAGCGACATTGTGGTTTTCTTGTTACAGGGGCTAATCTTGATCTAGGTGTCTTACTCATAATGTCGCCTATTTCATCAGTGAATGACTTAACGTAAAATCTATAAAAGGAGCATGAGTTTCTTCATAACTACACATAAGTGCCCCAGTAAGCATGAAACCTGAACTGGAGGGATTTTTGTCAAGTGATTTCTCACATCTAGCCTTATTGAAACTAGATCTAAACTGCTTAGTTCTCTAATTGTCATCCTAGAAATCTCTTAGTGTTATATGCAAAGTTATCGATGTACTCAAAAGTCTAGTAAACTTGTGCACAATTGAGTGTATAAAGGAAACAGAACTGTAAACAAAAAGAAATTGGATCTATAAAGCATATAGGATTAAATGTCAACAGCGTACTTTCATACTGAAATAGAGAACTAGAAATAAATCTAATCGAAGGGCGATCAGCAACCTTGTACACATTCATGCAGTAGACAATGAACCACACATAGTGTGTGAGGGCTACTTATACTAACTGGACGCCCAAACCTCGGTAGGTGGAACAGGGCTCGAACCTGTGACCCATTACTTGAAAGCCGTCTCCCTAAACCAATAAACTACAGCTGAAATAGGAAATTAGACTTTTCCCTGAAAGTTGTAATAATGAGAAGATAATATGCAGGTTAAAATTTATATGCATTCAGTAACTAATGAAATTTCGCTAAAAACTATGAAACACCACTCTATGTTTAAAAGCGAACTGTTCCTGTTGACTGTAGTACGCACGTTTTGGAAATGAATAGCATTGAAATGTTACGTATGTATTTCACATTATCTGGGAATTACACCAGTAAATCATCACTATAATGTGTGTAGATCGAAATGTTTAGATATTCTTGCAGTGTTCAAGCAACAGCAAAGATACTTGGTTCAGTTAGGTAAAAATTAAAATACGATGACAACAATCGAGATAATCATTACCTTCCATCTTTTTCAAGTAAGTGAATGGGAACCCATTTCTCTGCTTCCCCACTCCCTAGTGTGACTTTTTTCCTATGTTGACTTGTGATAAAAAATAAAGATGTGTTTAATTATGTAAACGAAGTTACTAATAGCTACTCGAGATATTGTATGCATATTCGTTTTTGTTGCTGACTAGATCTTGGTCGCGTAGTCCATCATCGGGAGGTGAAACTGGTCGTGATCTTCATCTCCGTGAACGTTTGCCTGATGTGGTTCCTGGTCCACATGTTCGTAACAGACGAGGAGGTGAGTACATCATTAACCAAGCAAATGAATAATTTCCTATTGTTTATTTATTTCAATAAAACCTGTTGAATCATTCAATGAAAACTAAATACTATCTACATAGTTTTAACAGGACGTGACTGTATAGACCACTTTGACATTCGACTTTCAACTAGTAGGTTATATGTCCGAAACCGCGCTTCATTTAAGAAGATTTAAACGCCCTGGTAGTCACCGTGAGTGTGATGCATTACCTAACGTACAAACTTGCTTGTGTTTACTGAGTTACATCTGTAAGTCAATGGTTCGGAAGTTCAATATTGCATTATTCAGTAGTCAGTACTCGTTGCATGAGAACCAAATTAATGTGAGATGGTTGGTTGATTAACTTAACTGATGATAAGCCTCTGAAACTAGTATTTATGACTGGTCGGAATTGAGTAACTGACCAACTGGTAACTTAAAAGATCATTTTAGAGAAAGCCAACGAGTAGAGCATCGCAAATCTTTTCCCATCAATCAGATTCAGGGTACATCCATGCACTCATTGAGTGACCAATCAGTTACACTCAGAGAAAAGTAGCATGCTATATATGTATCTATGCGCAGTCAATTACTACACTTTCTTGTGAGGCTCTGATGCACTGATGATGATGTCTAACATGACGTAGAAACGTTTTACAACTAAAACTCAAGCTCAGAGGACAACTTGCCCTGAGCTAAAAATATTCACCACACCTTCATGGTGTAGATTGTCCAGTTGGGATCTTTGAGACGACAGAAATCAATAGTTTGAAACCTTTTGGTAACATGCTTGATAATTGGTCATTGTGACGCAAATCTATTCACTCTCTGGTATGTTCTACAGCTTGACCATAGTTTTCAAATTCATTTTAATCCTATACACTTTTAACTACTTTGTTATCATTCCTCTTTCCTCACGCTCCTTGCATACTGCTGCTTGAACTGATCTACATCTAGGCCATGTTCTACGTTGATTTGTCTGTTCGTTATCAAGCAGAAAGGCTATGCTGGGTGAGACTAAAAGTTATCTCCAAGTTTTGTAGTCTTGTGTCTGAGAATATCTATTTCCTGTCTTCTGCATGCATATATTTTGAAGTGGACTGCAATCATAAATCCTTTTTCGATGTAATTTGATGCTTCAACTAACTCACTGTGAGTATCACTCATGTTGAATAATTATACTTACTTTCCGCCTAAGAAGTGGAAATGCAGCCAATAATTCGCACATGAACAAACAGGATGAAACACGATTCAATGACAGGCAACACTGTAAAAACTATGTATTCAAGATTTAGTCTTTGTTTGATGCTGTCTGATCTTGTGATCAAACAGCCTAGCGATGTTTTTTGACTTGTGGTCTTCATATTGCCGAGATGCTGCAATAACGTATGTAACAGAATGTATGAGCGTATAAACGTTCTAGCCTTACAGTCTGCTGGTAGATACTTGATTGGATCATACCTGTGTAGACAATTTCTTTTGAAATCGAAATAAACTACTTTGAGGAAAACATTATTTGTTATAATCTTTATTGTGGCGGGGGATTGTAAGGTCTTATCGATTTCAAGTTAATGTTCATCAAGAATCGACATCATTTGGAGAGGTATTCATTGAATACGCATGTAAAAGGCAGTTAGTTCGTCCTATTTTGGGACACTTTAGCAGTGCACACCTACAACAAATGCAACATAGAGTATTTATTATACATTATTTGTCCTTCTGGTTCCTAGTGGAACATGGGGCTTCAGTAGCACGTTTCCATTTCACTCTCTTCTCTGCAATCTTTTGAACCTGGCTCCGCGACTTCCCAGAACCTCTCATTTCTTCACATGATCTCCTCCATGTCAACCTTGTCTCGGACGCCCAACCCATCGTTTCCCCTTTGGACTCCACTCGACGGCCTGGCACGTGATGTCCCCGAATGGTCACCTCAGTGTATGCCCAATCCAATCCATCTCCACTTCCTTCTGCGTATTTGTTCAGCAATAGGTTCTTGTTTGGTTCGTTGTCAGGTGAGAGTTCCTTGTTGCTTATTATTTCTGGCCATCTGATCTTCACTATGAAGTGAGCGTAGGTGGCAGCTGTTGATGAATGTCTGTATTTTGTTGGAAATGTTTTTCGTGGCGCGTCGTCTCTGAACCATATGGAAGCACTGACTTGACCGACTTGGTGTTGAAAATCCGGGTCTTGTTCTTTATGCTAAATGCAGATCACACTGGTTTCAGGTTAATGAAACCGTATCACTATGTGCAGTTTATCAAATTAACAAAGCTAACTTGATGGGAACTACTTTTTAAATTTTCATTGTTTCTGTGGCTTTTGAATTAACTATAAAAACCTCACCTTCAAGTCGTCTATCTTGCTTAACTCATTGCTGTTGTATAATTTCATTGTTTCGATTTTGACAATTTTCTTTCTCTTCAACTAAACAGCGTCACCAATGCGTAGAAAGAAAAGTCGTAGTCCATTTGCAGATGACATTTCTGGACCACCAACTGTGGCTAATTGGGTCCCACCAAAATCTGTCAATCATGCAGAACCCAATCAAATGCCTAACAGTGGTCATATCCCTAGCCAAAACTGTCTTCCTGTAGAGCATATTGAACCTGAATTATACCGTTCTAACAATACTGATGTTGTTCCAGATGCAGTCGCTTCTAGTCAAACCTCTGCGTTAACGGCAGGTGAGCTGCCACCGAATCGACCCGGTGTTCGTTTAACGTTAGCACCACGCATGAAGGTGAGTCTTTTGGTGTCTAGTTTAAGGATTTTTTTTTGGTATTATTTTCAGTGTTAAAATCTGATATTTTGTATTAAAACAGTCGACCTTCTAAAGAGACTTCTGCGAACAGTTTAGATGAAAACAGTGCACACCACCAAGATAGTGACTTTATGTGATAACCTAGGTCCTTATGGTGTTTCAAGTATTATATTTAGAAAATAGGCAGATATTTTATGTCATCCTCTCACAGATTTCTTTAAAGTTGCACTTGTGCCTATGTCAACTTTCGGGCCAGATGTTAAGTTTCGACCCATCGCTATAACTTTCCCTTTTGTGAAGATAATAAAGAAATTGCTTCTTGAACTTTCATTGAAGGCTTTCAGAGATCCAAAACGGTTTGCTTACAAACACAGAGGAAGTATTTTAGATGCAACTCCTGTCTTGGATCATAATATTGTTTTTATTCTCGACAAAGATGTTAAGTATGTTCGCTATGCCTTCTTAGATTACACATCAGCCTTTTATTTTGTTCCTAGACCACTCTTGTTAAACAAGGTTGCACACTGCTCATACTGAGCTATGATTTGCAAACTGACTGCATTCTTATTTTTCTCAAGAGAAACAGTACACTGATTATAAGGGGAAGTCTCAAAGTGCAGCACCTTCTTCCTTTCTGTTTTCTTGTTTTTGGCATGACCTACCTTATTCTGCTAAGACTAATTTTATTAAGTAACCTGATGGTTTCTGAGCCAGTTAGCTCTCACCTAGATTGCTGTCGATTAAACGGCTTTTTATCTAAAACTAGGCAGTAGTTTTTTTTCAAATGATCGTCTCATGGTAAACTTAGATTTATAAGAATAAATGTAAGACTGTTAACTTTAGCCTTAGGTGTAAAAGAAGGCTTATGTGAGTTGCATTAATTCCATGACTCTTATAGTATTGCTGTAAAAAGCAGATAGTGTTCCGTATTTTGGATAGAGTTTCCCCGATAATCTTTCATGGTCTTGACATCCGAGGAACTCGTTTGTTCAGCTTAATACATTAGAAAGCTAAGACTCTCTGGTATAACTCGGCCTCTACTTTTACAACTTATTAGTTCCTGTATTTTACCTATTCTTCTTTATTGTTCCCGTTAATCTTTCCTGGTCAACTGATAAAGGAATATGTTATATTGCGTAGGGCTTTGAAAGCTGTCAGTAGGGTAAGTGGTGAACCCCTACCCCCAAAGGATTAGTACTGTAGTTGAGAGACATTTCAATTCAAATAGGCAACTAGCCGCAGTCATTTTGTTTAGTACTGAGCATTCACTTTGGTCATAGCTCTTTCCTTGTATCTCCTTAGGGGAAAACAAAAAGAGATTATGTGAAACTGTTTGCTCGTGCGGCTAAATATAAGAATTCAGCTGTGACTTAGTTAGTACGCATCTTATATCAGGAAAAAAGTGTGAGGATAGAATCCACTTATCAACTTTGTAACAATAAATAACCAGTCTGACCAATATTTAAACCACTGATATATAATTTTCCTCGTTACTAATTGTTGTGACCGAGTGGTGGGGTTGCGCGCGTGGGTATAAGGAATACTCGGACTCAATAGATACCTCAACTGAATACCTTTACGACTGACCTCCCTCAGTACCTTCCGCTTCACTTAGCCGCGGTAAAATCAGAAGACAAAGACGGCCTATGACTGCAAGAACAGCGACAGCAACTTTTATTAGACAAATGCGTGACATATATGTATTTACAAAACTCTCAGAAAGTGAAGCCACAAGTGAACCAATCAGATTTCTTGTACGAGGTCGAATTCCTCCAATCAGGTCCTCATGTCAGCGCATGCATAAATCATGATCTGATCACGACTTGAAAACTCCCCTATTGGCTGCCTTCTTGTCGGTACGTAACACTAATATTATTGACATAATTTAAATTGCTATAATTAACACCATTCCAAATATTATAAAGGAGTATATATTTTTGTTGCAGTATTATTTATTTTTCCCTTGGGTTCGTAGTGGAGCATAGGGCTTCAGTAGTACGTCTCCATTTCACTCTCTTCTCTTCAGTCTTTTGAACCTGGCTCCACGACTCCCCACAACCTTTCATTTCTTCCTCACACCATCTCTTCAATGTCATCGCCTCGGACACCCAACTCGTTGTCTCCCATTTGGATTCCACTTGACTGCCTGACGCGTGATGTCCCAGAATGGTCTTTTCAGTGTTATGCCCAATCCATCTCCACCTTCTGTCTATTTGTTGCGTGATAAGTTCTTAGTTGGTTCGTTACCAGGCGAGAGTTCGTTGTTGCTTATTCTTATTCTTCTGGCCATTTGATTTTGAGAATCGAGCGTAGGTGGCAGCTGTTGTTGAATGTCTGTGGTTTGTTGGAAATGCTTTTCGTGGCGCGTCGAGTCTCTGAAGCATATAGAAGCACTGACTTGGTTGTCATTGGTGTTGAGAATCTGGATCTTATTCTTTATGTTGCATTTGAACAACCAAACCTCAAAACAGCATCCCACAGAAGTCTGTGTATGACTGGTCTCAAACAGGCGTCCCATGGACTCTGCAGTCACACAAATCTTTTTCACCTTCAGGTACCGTAAGGAGAAATAGTCTTCCACGATGTGCTAAGCCAGGAAGGGTCAACCTTTGTTGTTTACACTAGTTTTAACCTCAGTTGTTTTTTAAATATAAATTCATGTTTTTCACTGATATTCGCCACTCTTTATGACTACACAAAACTAAAATATAGCTGCCAGACTTGTACCCTTGTTTTGAATTTTTAGGCACCACCTGTGGGTATCAGTTCACTTGCGGGTACGGCACCTACCCGCTCTTCTACAAATCGTCCACCTCCTCAACCGTCATCACCACCGCAACCTCGTCAAGTTCGGCATCTCGGTGCTCCTATCTTACATCGTCATACTTCTCCCATTGATTCCAAGGAACATCCCATCGTTGGTACTACTAATATTACAATGCCCCTGACACAAGTTCGTTTACAAGCGGAAGCGGCGGCGGCAGCTTTGGAGATACGTGAACGACGAAGAGCTGCCGCCGAAGCAGCGAAAAAACACCGACATCCACGTCGACACAAACGGACTAATCTTGAGAGTATACCTATGCGTGGTAGACCAACTTATAGACGACAGTCATTCTCAGTCTCTTCGGAAGCATCTGGTAGTTCCACGTCATCTCATTCTTCTAGATCACTATCCGGAGATCGTTCTCTTTCTGAATCAGGTAGACCTACTGCAGTTCGACATAGTCCATTTGGTCGTCAAGTGTCATCTAAACAAGATCAGGAGACTATTCGTCCAAGTGTTCGAAAACGTATTCGTCAGGATACACAGCGTACAAGTCTAAAAGAAATAGATGAGAATACAACACGGCGACATGCAGGTCGTCCTGGTACAATTGACGGCACTGATCCTCGTGAATCTGTGAATTACGCGCGCTATGCGAAACAACCAGATTTCACTGAACGTACTGCTCACAGAACACGTGGAACAGACCAATTCGGTCAGAAGACATCACAGTCACTTAAACGACCTTATCCTTCTGGTAAATTAGTTTTGGTTTTTTTTTTATAAAATTTAATCATATGGTCATTGTTGATGCTAATGAAACAAAGACGCGATCTACTCAACAGGTTACAATCTTTCACTTAAAAGACTTGTATCAACCTTAAAGTTAGGCAAAAACTACCTGCAACATCACTTCTACAAAAAGATTAGTTCTTTATGCATTTTATGGTTGATGCGACATAATTGTTTTCCCCAGAATAGGAAAGTGGTCGGTTGAGATTATTTTAATTTCTGTTCGTTTGTACAAATGAAAAGAGTTCTCATGAAGATAGCGCGTCATCTTTTTTTAAGTTCCCCTGATTGGATGATGTACTAAGTTAAAATTGGAATTATTCCCAGTTTAATAGGCAAAACTTGGAAGTAACATATTGTTTTGTGACTCACGAGCACACATTTCATACTTATCAGTGGTCATCTCTAATAGGTTTCAAAGGTAGATTATTATTAACTATTAAAGTGATTTTCAGAGTGAACTCACTTATTTCATGCGTCCTTTATTTTGACCAAAACCTCCCATCTGACAAAGTTGAGTGCCACATTCGTTATCAGTAGCCACGTAAACACTTGTTATGGTCGTTAGTGGAATAAATCCCACATTATCGAGCTGGGAAGTTGGATCAGCCTTGATGGGTGAGTGACCGACGAAATTTCTGTATACATACAAAAGATTTTATTGGCTTTTGTCATCTTAAGCCATCGATGGTGCCTGTGTGATATTCGATCGCCCATAAAAGGTCAGGTGTACTGCGCTGAAGTTCGCACTACCCTATGAAACATGGCCACTAAGTGTAGAGGATATGAGGTGTTTGACCAATGTTACCTTCTTAAAATAATTCAAGTATTGTTGAACCACTACGACAGTAATACAGAAGTCGGCTGTAGAGTTTGAGGTAGAAAAGGCAAATCATTTGATGACGTTAACTTTCATCTAGTCACCGTCCACTCCGTCGATGGATATTCGCAGTAGATGGTTTAGTTTGGAAGAATGTTACTGGCGACCAGACTAGAACGAAGCATCAGTCAATGAAGTCTTTAACTGTTGATCTGAGCCGTGTTGACAGGTTTAGACTTCCACATGACGACAGAAATCAATGGTTAAAAATTCAAGTTCATATGGCGATGCAGATGTATCCACACTTTTCACGTTAAACAAATCGAATTTCGTTGTTGTCTCGTTGCTCCCTGTTCTCTTTTCACGACTTTCTGTCGCTTTTGACTGCTTTCTTTCTAATTTTTCATTTCGATGCATTCTTGCTTCACGTACTGACATAAGGTGTGGCAACTTAGACCGTTACGCAGTAATACCAGGTCCCATGCTGGTGCTGGTTACCAACTAGTTGGGTATCTAGGAATTAATTAGTTCCTACATAAATTAATTGATGGAATGTATCCGGCAAATTTTCTACCTCAACTGAAAATTGATATGATATGGAAATATGTCTTGACATACATTTCGGTCTGTTTTTTTTCAAAATTTCATTGCGCTTGAATGTTTCGATTATATCGAATTATTCTAAAATTCGATTGATTGAGACACTTCAAAGTTAATTAATAGACTGTTTAGTTTATAGTCATGGTTATTTTTCTCCGACCTGTTGAACTGAATGCTGGGCTTTTTTATCCTCCTCTTACAGTGAAAATGCTATTCGAGAATCCCGTATTCATCAAACCAGATTTTATGGGTAAATATGCTCAATTGGTGCTCACTGACGAACAAAACCTACTCAGCCACCTTTAGCACATCTGTGCAGTGGGCAATGAGGCATACCTATTGCGTGAAGGCTAATGATACTATCTACCTGCCCACACCGCGGTAGATGGAGTGCGGTCCGAACCAGTGACCCACTGGTTGGCAGTTATCTTCCTGAGCCACAATCCCACTGACACCCACCTTGAAACTGTGTACTTAGAATCAAGCTTTAGTTAATCTACAATCTATATGAGTAGACGGATAGACAGATGCAAGTGGTCTTCAGTAAAATGCATCGGTTAGTAGGATCGTCGTACTTCTCCGTAGTATGGAAATGGAAAGACATCTAAGTTAACGAGATACTATTTATTTCGGACAGACTTCCTAGGTAAAAATTCTTATATCTGTTGACCAGTGGTTCCGGTTATAACAACAGTCGACAAAAGGTTTTTGTAGTCGAATGGCATCTGTTGATGAATTATAACCATTTTGATTCTCACCCCTAGAGTTCACGCGGTTTGTAGACCCGAAACGTTATCATCAAACATGGTTTTAAATCAAAACTAGTGAAAATGGGATTGGTCTCTTGCTTTGGTTCAAAAAGGTAATGGCAGCTGCTGAAATGCATTTTCGAGTTATTCACCATTGTGTACGAGTTTAACCACGTATTTACCACATATTATATTTCAGGTTATGATGAATTACCAGTACGCCAACGTCCAGAACGAGATATACATGTACCTGGTGTCCGTTTTCCAAATGTTCCTGTTGAAGAGCCGCACAGAATTTCAGAAACACGGCGTTCTATTGGACAGCCAGTCGTTACCAAAGAGAGAATTGTCAGACCAAGAACGCCTCATGGCTTGGAAATGATTGATTTCAGTCGACGTTCACCTCATGCAGATGTTGATGTATTACCTAAAATTATCCGGATTGATAGGGAACAGTACCGAAGAGTTAATTATGAGGTACTGGACGTCAGTGTCTGCGAAAAACCAGCCGTTGATCCCGCATTTGTTGATACCGATAGTTTTGATGCTAAACGTGCTCGTAGTCGTCATCGTAGTAGAGGACCTGGTGGAACTATTGACAGATCAGAACCCTTCGAGTCAGACGCAGGAAGTTTTGCTGCAGAACAGCGTCTAAGGAAGCTCCGTGAGCGTTTAAACCTAGTAGATGATGCAATTGCTGAAATCAAAGCAGGTACTGGAGTACAATCAAATTTTAGTTTTGGTGACATTCGAAGATGATGAATACTCAAAGTTCGAAACTGCAATGTGTACATTGTCGTTCCCACTTAACTTATTTGTGCACAAACCAACAATATTTGATTACTCCTCAAGTCAATTGTCTGTACTTTTCGGCTGTATTATATTTCATTGAAAAAAGTATCGTTTTCTCATAAATTTCAGTTAATTTCTTTGCTTACGTGTTATTTCATGCTAAGGTTGAAATTTTGGGTTATAACTACTTATTTAAGGAGTTTCATCAGTCCCGGTAGACCGGTTCTTCACCAAGTTTAATCACAAATATAATACATTTAGCATTCATCAACCTATTATGTTAACAAAATATCTGCCCATTAAAGAAAACCTTATTTTGTATCAATCTCCTTTGCAGTATGGCTGCCAGAACTGAATATTTATGAGAATTCAGCTAAGCGTTGTACAAGGGGATGACTCACTTAGTGAAACCACTACGTTAATATTTGGGTTCAGTGCAAAACCCTCATCAGTGAAGAAAAGTCAACCGACACGGTTTTGAACCTGCATAATCTGGATTGGCACAGTATGGCCTAATCAACATTCGTATTTGATGTGTGATATTTAGAAAGAACACAACCGATAGTCGCTACTTGATATGGTAGTCGCACTTGTAAGTCACAATGACCCAGCCAGCTACACTGTCTGCTACGCTTATACCCTCGAGGTCTTACCATCCCCGAAAAGGTCTGTTGGGTAGGTGTTAGCAAGAAAACAGAGGCCATAGTGTAAATCCCTGCGCTATGATGAGGGTCTGAGAGCAAAGCCGCACTGTCGGCTGGATGGGGAGATGATAGCGGTAAGGTGCTCCCCTCGGATGACCAGCAGTAACGCGCTGATACTACCCTCTCGGTGAGAAGAGGATGTTGGAAAAGGTCGGCCTTAAAAATAGCACCCCTCTCTACCCAGCGGTATACCCGTGCCAGTGATATGTGGGTTCATGGTTGAGTTCGAAGCTAATAAACTTAAATTCCAAACTTGCAAAAAGGCCGTGTGTAACCGGCCTCAAGCAGATGTTCCTTAAGCTCCATGAACACAAACTAACCCTTCTTTTTCAGGCACCCCAAGGAGAACTAGCATTCCACGGTATGGAGAGTCGAGAAATGTCGGTTACCCGTACACTTCAAATGGTATGCAAAGCGTAATAAAACATAAGTAAACCTACTTACCTGTCCCCTCTTTTGCCTTCATTTTCCGTTACCAAAAGCAAATCTATTTCACCGTCTAACTTTTCGCCCACCGCCAATGATCAAGGTCATCCAGACTCCGTTCCTAGTCTCCTAAAGCCCTGCTACCAATTTCATATTGATGCCTCTAACGTCCGAACCCTATTCCAAAAGGACAGCAGATATCGCTCGCCAGAACTCTAGAATCACGAGCCATGGACGAATGCTGTTTCTGAGATACGTATACAGGACCTCTGTTATTAAATTAACCTCACCTGCCCCGTGCCACGAATCTTGAAAGTTCACTTTGCGAGTATCTGGAGACCTAATGGTTAGCTATCGTCGACTCTCTGGTGTAGGGATTGATCTGTAGACTAGACAGTACACTTCTCCACTGGATACCGGTCAACATCCATCCGCGCTATTCGACAGAATGGACCTGTAAAAACTAGGAAGGATCGGGAGAGTGGACAACGCCATTATTAATCTCCACCGACTCCAGTTTAGATGATGCCACGGATGAATTCGATCAGAATTTGTCAATTCTGCAACAGAAAGCACAACGTTCAGATATAGTCATAATAGCAGATGAATTTAACACTCAACTAGGAAAGCTGAGTCATTCGGAAAAGTATTTGAGAAATCCCATGCCAACGAACTGACAACGGTGATCGTCTGTTGCGAGTTTGTTTCGACAATCACTTGCTTCTGGTCAGCAATAACTTTAAACATAACCAGAGGTGTTGTTTCACATAACGTCCGCCAACATTGAACTGACAATGGACACGGACAGATCATATTGCTAGGAGCTATCGGTGGAGAGTTCCCGCTCTTTCTAGAGTACTCGTATAAAAACCGGCTACGAGTACGTTTGCGCCCTACTGGTCGCAGAAAACAGGCTGCTTGTTTGAGCTTATAATTGGAAGTTGAAAACGTCACGTACTCATTTAGGGAGGAGGTGGCTAAGCATTTATCTGGATATGACAGCAATCCTCATTCTGAGGAAGCCTGGCGTGATATTCAGTCTATTGTAGAAACAGCGGTAAAGATAATAGGTAACCTACGTCCAAAGGTTAGCAAACGTCATCAGATTTCCACAACGTCATCCAAACTCATTGTTCGGAGGAAAGTTATTTCAGCTGGCTCTGACCACAATGAAGAGCGAAAGCGAGATGGAGAAGGTATCAGCGTTAGGTAACAACCGGCAAATATTCAGGCCTATTAAGGATACTGGCAAGAAATCAATGGTGAGTGGAACTACCACCAAAAAGGATGGGACGCTGATAACCTAAATGAAACAACTCGAAACGAGGTCCACTCAGCAACCTTGTGCACATCCGTGCAGTAGGCAATGAAGACTAGTAGATACCACTTGGATCCCGAAACCTCGGTAGGTGGAACGGGGCTCGAACCCATGACTCAGTGGTTGATAGACCACCTCCCTAAACTACTGAGCGAAAGCTCCACAGTAAAACAACTAACACCAAAGCAGGAGCAAAATAGGTGAGAGGAAAAAGAGAATAAAAGAATCATACCAAGCACTACAAAACAAGGAATCGTAAGAGAGCAAAACTGCATAGCAGTACGTTTAGCATACAAAGGAAAATATTATTTCATTTTATGTCACTGTAACTGTCTAACAACCATATCGCACGGCCTCCCAACCATCGATTTCAATTGTTAGGTGGACCCTTTTCAAGATGCTTACACCTACAGATACTAATTTAAAGATCCTCATAGATTATTCAAAAAAAACGTACACTGAGCGAACAATTAATTTCAATAACTTATTCTTCAGACTTTACAGCTAAACTGCAAAAATTGGCACCATACCATCGTTTGGACACCATAACCTTTTATATATTCTGACGTTTCATGTTATCAGGTAGATATTTCATAATCTACCTAGTGGTCTCGCCCTATACAACAGGTCCCCATATATCTTCAACACTACTCAGACTTTATCCTCTGAGAAAACTTCCACATGGTCGTGAAAAGTCAGGGATTTATTTCCTTACATCACTGGAACTTTACAAACTTTTATATACATGGCAATTTCGAAGCATAACTACCTATAAACGTCTCACAAGTAAAACAGTTATATTTCAGCTACAATATACTTGATAATGGGGGAATTTATACGTCACTGAGTTAAAGAATTTGACTTTCTCAATTCCATCTTTTAAAATTCAACTCAAAACTAATGATCAAACTATCTTCATACCTGTCAATACTTTACAGACGGCCACACAAATCAGAATATAGACTAATATAAGGGTTCTACTATCAATAACTGTGGCCTGGAAATCGTTTACTAGGACAGCACAACAGCCCGTAAGTGATCACTTCACTCATGATTACTATTTCCCACATTTTCGTAAAAAACTAGTTTTTTCAATATCTTTTTGGGACCCTTAGTTCCTATCTGATACACACAAAAAATGATGAGAACTTAGGATGTTACTGTCAGAGTACATTTATTACGAGCTATACAATCACAGGTACATGTAGGAACTTTCTAAGACCCTGGTCAGGCCTGTTTTGAGTTTAACAGCTCACGTAGCGCCTCCTTAGACTCATTCAACCCATTTGTAACAGTATTTCTAGTCTTCTAGGGTGGGATAACATTGGATTTATTCTTACCTGTGCAGTTTCAATATTTTCAGTAATCTTGCTTCTTTCTTTCTTTATATCTTCAATAATAGAGCCCCTAGGTTTCTTTACAAACCTTTTTACAGACCTTAGATTGAAATCGAAAAACTTACATCCTCCCACAAGCTTTGTAAGTAGTCACATCGATAGGCAAGCCAACAAGCTCACACTCTATTAACTCAGATCGTCTGAACTTAATGCTAAGTGAATCTATTTGCGCATTCAGCAAGTTAATTTGTTGGTTGGCTGAGACTGTCTTTTGTCTGTGCTCTTCGATAGCCTTTAACGAAGGTGAAACAAAAAAACAAGATACCTTTTGACATCTGGATCAGACATTACTCAAGGAATGACCTACAATCGAAAACCCCAGCTAACTCAAGGTCACCTTTAAACTGACAATAATCTCTTGTTTGGCCGTAAAATCTTTGTAAAGTATAGAAGACCAAATTAAAATTTCACTTCTCTGGTAGTGGGTGTGGGTCTTCCGGCGCTTGCTTCGAAAAAATAAAAGTCTCTTCTAATCGCACTGGAACAGACAGATTAGAAAGTTAACCGTGTATGGCAAGATATAGACGCCCATTGAAGATTTATACTCGACAGGATCACACATGGAGTCAGTCAGTCTGTTCCAGTTTTGAGACTAAAGCGCTTCAAGTTACGTAAGGTAATCAGGAACCACACTAACAAACTACTTAGGTTAAAGAAACACCATTGGGCTGAACATAAAAGGATCGGCACTGAATATACTTACAGAAGGTTCAAATAGACAAGAAATATATGAACGAAGGCATTGTGAGCCAGTTGACAGTGGCATCAAGTCAGGCTTGCAAACATGTTTATCTCTAACCTGCGAAGTCTGTTCGGTTAAGCTGCTTCGTTCCAGCAGGCTAAAACTAGAGTCTTTCGACTACTGGGTGCGAACGGGCAGACCAGTAGTGACGGGAAGGCAGCTGGGCTCCTAGCCGGACAGTGTCTGCAAATCTTTTCGTCATCGTCCACCTAATCAGTAGCTCACGAATATCCCATTAACGAAGTGGGACGCCTTATCGTCGACCTCAGCGTTGAGCTAGTACAGCGCAAACTGCTACTGCTAACCAGAGACACCTATCCGAGACCAGATAAAATACATCCGGTGGTAGTGCAAGAGGGAGCCTCAATCTTGCCCGAACCCTTAAGTAAGTTATTTAAGAGTTCTCTGAGTGAGGGGATAGTACCTGACTCTTGGAAGCTGGGCCACATAACGCCAATCTTCAAAGGGGGGGGGGTCAACTGAGCAATCCAAA